CAGGAACTGTTTATCCTTTTGGAGCAATTGATCATTTCACTAATGATACAGGAACTTTTTATCCTTTCGGAGCACCTGAGCGTGTCACTAATGAAATACAGGAGCTGTTTATCCTTTCGGAGCACCTGAGCATGTCACTAATGATACAGGAACTGTTTATCCTTTCGAAACACTTGATCATGTCACTAATGATACAGGAACTGTTTATCCTTCCGGAGCACCTGAGCATGACACTAATGATACAGGAACTGTTTATCCTTTCGGAGCAATTGATGATGTCACTAATGATACAGGAACTGTTTATCCTTTCGGAGCACCTGAGCGTGTCACTAATGATATACAGGACTTATTTATCCTTTCGGAGCACCTGAGCGTGTCACTAATGATATAGGAACTGTTTATCCTTTCGGAACACCTGATCATGCCACTAATGATACAGGAACTGTTTATCCTTTCGGAGCACCTGATCATGTCACTAATGATACAGGAACTGTTTATCCTTCCGGAGCACCTGAGCATGTCACTAATGATATACAGGAACTATTTATCCTTTCGGAGCACCTGAGCGTGTCACTAATGATACAGGAACTATTTATCCTTTCGGAGCACCTGAGCATGTCACTACTGATACAGGAACTGTTTATCCTTCCGGAGCACTTGAGCATGTCACTAATGATATACAGGAACTGTTTATCCGTCCGGAGCACCAGAGCATGTAACTAATGATACTTGAACTGTTTATCCTTCCGGAACACCTGATCATGTCACTAATGATACAGGAACTTTTTATCCTTCCGGATCACCTAAGCGTGTCAATAATGATACAGGAACTGTTTATCCTTTCGGAGCAATTGATCATTTCACTAATGATACAGGAACTTTTTATCCTTTCGGAGCACCTGAGCGTGTCACTAATGAAATACAGGAGCTGTTTATCCTTTTGGAGCACCTGATCATGTCACTAATGATACAGGAACTGTTTATCCTTTCGAAACACCTGATCATGTCACTAATGATACAGGAACTGTTTATCCTTCCGGAGCACCTGAGCATGACACTAATGATACAGCAACTGTTTATCCTTTCGGAGCAATTGATGATGTCACTAATGATACAGGAACTGTTTATCCTTTCGAAGCACCTGAGCGTGTCACTAATGATATACAGGAACTATTTATCCTTTCGGAGCACCTGAGCGTGTCACTAATGATATAGGAACTGTTTATCCTTTCGGAACACCTGATCATGCCACTAATGATACAGGAACTGTTTATCCTTTCGGAGCACCTGATCATGTCACTAATGATACAGGAACTGTTTATCCTTCCGGAGCACCTGAGCATGTCACTAATGATATACAGGAACTATTTATCCTTTCGGAGCACCTGAGCGTGTCACTAATGATACAGGAACTGTTTATCCTTTCGGAACACCTGATCATGCCACTAATGCTACAGGAACTGTTTATCCTTCCGGAGCACCTGATCGTGTCACTAATGATACAGGAACTGTTTATCCTTCTGGAGCAACCGAGCATGTCACTTATGATACAGGAAATGTTTATCCTCCGGAGCACCTGAGCATGTCACTAATGATACAGGAACTGTTTATCCTTCCGGAGCACCTGAGCATGTCACTAATGATATACAGGAACTATTTATCCTTTCGGAGCACCTGAGCGTGTCACTAATGATACAGGAACTATTTATCCTTTCGGAGCACCTGAGCATGTCACTACTGATACAGGAACTGTTTATCCTTCCGGAGCACTTGAGCATGTCACTAATGATATACAGGAACTGTTTATCCGTCCGGAGCACCAGAGCATGTAACTAATGATACTTGAACTGTTTATCCTTCCGGAACACCTGATCATGTCACTAATGATACAGGATCTTTTTATCCTTCCGGAGCACCTGAGCGTGTCAATAATGATACAGGAACTGTTTATCCTTTCGGAGCAATTGATCATTTCACTAATGATACAGGAACTTTTTATCCTTTCGGAGCACCTGAGCGTGTCACTAATGAAATACAGCAGCTGTTTATCCTTTCGGAGCACCTGATCATGTCACTAATGATACAGGAACTGTTTATCCTTTCGAAACACCTGATCATGTCACTAATGATACAGGAACTGTTTATCCTTCCGGAGGACCTGAGCATGACACTAATGATACAGCAACTGTTTATCCTTTCGGAGCAATTGATCATGTCACTAATGATACAGGAACTGTTTATCCTTTCGGAGCACCTGAGCGTGTCACTAATGATATACAGGAACTATTTATCCTTTCGGAGCACCTGAGCGTGTCACTAATGATATAGGAACTGTTTATCCTTTCGGAACACCTGATCATGCCACTAATGATACAGGAACTGTTTATCCTTTCGGAGCACCTGATCATGTCACTAATGATACAGGAACTGTTTATCCTTCCGGAGCACCTGAGCATGTCACTAATGATATACAGGAACTATTTATCCTTTCGGAGCACATGAGCGTGTCACTAATGATACAGGAACTGTTTATCCTTTCGGAACACCTGATCATGCCACTAATGATACAGGAACTGTTTATCCTTCCGGAGCACCTGATCGTGTCACTAATGATACAGGAACTGTTTATCCTTCTGGAGCAACCGAGCATGTCACTTATGATACAGGAAATGTTTATCCTCCGGAGCACCTGAGCATGTCACTAATGATACAGGAACTGTTTATCCTCCGGAGCACCCGAGGTCACTCCTGGGTTTTTGTTAGCAATCATGTACCTTAAAATTTATTTTCTGGACAGTTCCACAGTTTGGTGGACAGTTGTTAGTTTTTTTTGTCGTTTTTCTATTGTCCATGGTATTATCTGTTATTTTTTTTTTTATCGATTGAGTGATTGATTGATTGGTCACAGTTTGCTTTTCGCCGCCACTGCATTAGAAAAGGGCTATGTTGCGGAGGGTGCAAATTCAAATATTTTACCAATAGATACTTAATGATACAGGAACTGTTTTAGAAATTAGTCAAAAGGTTCTTCAATAAACTAAAAGTTAATTCAAATCATAATGACCTATTTACAAATAAAATTTAACACTTAGACTATGTGAAAAAAAAACCTTAAAATCATTTGGAACTGTTACCAGATATTTATAATTTTGAATATAAAATTATTCCAATTTCTTTAAAAATGAAACATCTTTTTGAACTGGAATAATATCAAATAGGTCATATATTTTATGGTTAAAACGTTTCCTCCGAATACTGTGGATTCATTATTATTCGTTGGATACTAATTTTCGTGAATTTCGTGGGTACAGGTGAACCACGAAATTAAGTATTCAACGAATTGAAAATTTTCTATAAGGTAATATGGAGATTTTGGCAAAACCACAAATTCAAATATAAACGAACATGCAAGTTTTCCTCAATCCACGAAAATTGGTACCAACGACGATAAATGCATCCACAGTATCAGCAAAGTCAATACATTAACTTAAAACATTTTTAATTGTATCGTGTTGTTCATTCTGTCGTTTTCTATGAGGTGTTTTGTAGATTTGTTATCGTGTCGTTCAGTCTGTTGTTTTCTATGAGGTGTTTTGTAGATTTGTTATCGTGTTGTTCAGTCTGTTGTTTTCTATGAGGTGTTTTGTAGATTTGTTATCGTGTTGTTCAGTCTGTTGTTTTCTATGAGATGTTTTGTAGATTTGTTCGTCTTTTCATCGTTTTTCGTTTTTTTGCCATCGTTGTCAGTTTTTCTTCGACTTATGAGTTATGAATGTCCCCCTGGTATCTTCCACCTTTTTTTGGAACCGCAAGGTATACTTTGTGGTTGAACTTCATTCTTTCAAGATACTCCTTATTCTAGGATGAATGATACGGCATTTAGAAATACCATACTGATCTTTCCTGTACACAATAAACAAAGGAGATGACATCAGTGTGTTCTCCATTGGTATGGAAAGTGGACGCCAAAGGTTTTTTTGTTTTCGTGCTTATAGGCGAAGGGATTTTAACATGTTTAGACATAGATCAAATTTATTTGTTCAGTACATAATATGTCTTTTGATTTAGTTAAGCCATTTCAATTGATATTTTATCGTGTGTTTTTCTATTTTGTGATGTTACACTATTGTTTCAGATAAGGGTGAAGGTTTGGTACCATTAAACCGCTTAAACCCGCTGCAATTGTTTGTACCTGTCCTAAGTCAGGAATCTGATGTTTAGTAATTGTCGTTTGTTGATGTGGTTCATAAGTGTTTCTCGTTTCTCGTTTTTTATATTGATATGTTGATTTTCCCGTTTGAATGGTTTTACACTAGTACTTTTTGGGCCCTTTATAGCTTGCTGTTCGGTGTGAGTCAAGGCTCCGTGTTGAAGACCGTACTTTGACCTATAATGGTTTACTTTTATAAGTTTTGACTTGGATGGAGAGTTGTCTCATTGGCACTCATACCACATCTTCTTATATCTATTAGCATTATTTAACAAGGAGAATTGTCTTTGGTTGTTGTGTTTTTCTTACATGTATCATATTTAGAATTTCTAATTTTCTACTAATTTCAAACTCTTTATTAATACATTTTTTTTAACTACCTCTAACCCGATTCCAAAAGGATAGGTCATATTATGCTCATACACTCTCTGGCGAAGGAGTAAGGAGGGGACAAGGGGACAACTTCTGAAAGTGGGAGTGGGTTAAACTATATTCACTTTTGCTCAATCCATCCCCCCCCCAAAAAAAACCCCACAAAAAACAAGTTAAAATGAAAGAGACACTGACTAACGTCTCGTCTATTTTACTATAGAAAGCTGTTTTGCTCATGTAAGTAAAACCCCGGTGATAAGTATGGATTGCTTTAATATACAACACATGTTTTTAAACAAACAAAATACTCTGTCTAGATATAATTGCAAAAAAACAAGTTTTTAAATAAACTAAATACACTGTCTAGATAGAATTGTGAATAATACAGTTTTTGCATAAAACAACACACTGTCTATTTGGATTTCAGTTTGCCATGGTCATTTTATCTGAGGACATTTTCTTCAGATTTGCAAAGGTGAGGTGTCGTATTTCTTTCATTGACAAAGCGATTTCAAAATCTCTTTCAAGTGTTTGTTGGACTTCTACATCCATTAAGGAATCAAATCCTAAAGCTACTAAATTGGTTTCTGGTTTAATTGCTGACGGATCCTTGATACCTGAAATAAATAAAAAAAGCACTTGTTAAACCTACACTAAAATAAAAAAAATATATATATATATATATACTTTTTCACTTTTTTGGTCTTTTGGAAAATGTTGTTTGTGCTGTATTTAGACCCCTCTACTAAGAAATTTGTTTTGCATGCACACGTATAAAAATAGCGGTTTTTATCCAACACAATCATAGGTTTGAACGTTGTTTTCAATTCAACTTGTTTATATTTTTTCGTTTGGGCTTGTATTATATTTGCCTTCGGGTTTATATGATCTGTTCATTCTATTTCGACTCTTTCAAAATTCAAGAGTCTATCCTAAATTGATGTAAATTATGTGGCCTTCCAAATACCGTTTCGATCCTAACATCACCAAAGAGACATTAATTGTCGAAATCCGGACATGGTGTACAAAATTTTGCACCTCATGTTTGCGGTATACCATCTTTTCCGCAAGTTTATTCTTTTCTGTTTGGTAATAAATTAATTATAAGATCCATTTTGTTACATCTTGTGATCAATTGCCAATGGCAGTCAGCAGGGTTTAAGAACATCAGTTGTTCGACCTGCTAGTCAAATGCGTTTTGTTAAAATATACTTTTTTTACTTTTTTGGTCTTTTGGAAAATGTTGTTTGTGCTGTATTAAGACCCTTTACCAAGAAATTTGTTTTGCATACACATGTATAAAATTTGCGGTTTTTATCCAACGCAATCATAGGTTTGAACGTTGTTTTCAATTTAGACTTGTCTATATATAGATATATATATATATAAAAAGAAACAAAGAAACAAAGAAAAAGTCTTTAGTTTTTTGGTAAAAACAATTGGTAAAAGAATGATGTTTATATCCACATTACATGTTACTTACGGAGCAATGCCAAAATATAGTTATCGACAGATTGTAGTACCGTGAATGTGCATATGTGTATAAGAATACTTTTTAGAATTGCTAACCTGGGATCATGATGAAATATTTTTGATTTCACAACCTTCGAATATAAATATATAGCTATATTCAAACCGCAAGTCCGCTCACGGTATTGGGAATATTGTGTCAGGACCCAAGACTCGAGAAAAACTGACTCGCCAAAAGTTGATTATGCAGATAGAATGTTTGACAAGAATAACATATTCAATGAGTATTAAAAGGTAGGAAGGACAACTCATTGGGAATATTGATGCAAGAAATTAATACATAGATATTAATAACGATAATAATGTTTAGTATGTTGGTATCGATTACCATAAACGAAACTTTTAAGAAATACATCAACTTTGTTGGCTGAACCCATAAATTATAATGATTTGTTCATTCCATTCCACTGTAAAAGAATTGTTGAGAAATAAAGATATATATATATATATATAGTTTTGAATATTTCAATGAATGAAGGATTTAAAAAATTATCATATAATTACCCAATATATGGCACACTGCTTCTATAACACTGGTTTTTGAGACACTATCAGAGTGAGTTTTTTGTCGCTTCTCTGATATCACATAGCTTGATACAACTGTGCATTCCAGGTTCATGAACTGTTCTAAGACATTCAAACAAGATTTCATCCTTTGAGGTAACGTTCCACCAACTACAGATTCGTTGGTTCCCTTGTTTTCCAAGAATATACCAACATCCCCAACCAGACCCCACTGTATAGCCAATGCTGTTTAATAAGAAATTTAGTAAATGTTAAGTCAATTAAAAAAAAAGCTTATATTAAAAAAAGCGGCCTTTGTGTATGATTTTAGAATATTTGATAAAATCCAGCATTAAACGGAGAAGCTGCTATTTCATTTTCTAGTAATACGAGCATGGAATGGGGAAACGCAAATAACGATTAACAATAAAATTTGCTTAAATTAAAGATAACGATAGATATTTTACTCCTTTTAACACCTTCGGTAACTGACAAGTGCGATTTGTAGAACGACAATAAATTTTGAGGCTCATTTGATGCAAAATATATATTGAAAAGTGGGCTCTGAAACGTGACGTTAGAGACCATAGCCACCCTCCTGTCTATCGGAAAATTTGAAAACCTTTAGCCAAATGGGCAAGATGAAATTTCTTTTGATAATAGTGAATGTTATTAAGTTATCTAAGAGACTAAGATTTGGAAAAAAGACCCAATACATTATACACATGATACCAGAGCAGTTCTTAATGATTATACAAAACTTACCAGGAAACCCATTTTCTTTCCTATCTTCGCATATTCTTTCCATCACAGAATTTGCAAATCCATAATTTGACTGGCCAGCATTCCCCCGCCCACTTGCGATAGATGAGAAGACAACAAACCAATCCAAACATTCTTTACATGACTTTCTTGTTGTCTTATCTAAATTAATTGTGCCAATCACTTTGGGTCTGCAAACAGCATCAAAATCATCCTTTGACATGTTCCCAAACAATTGGTCTTTTAATACCTAGAAATAACATATTTCTATATTTAGATATTTTTAGTGAATTTCAAATTATATACTTAATCGTTATCACAAATTAGTTTGGGATACATTAACTTTGACCGGATTTCCGTTCCGAAGTACTTGATTGAAAGAACGTTTGAATTATCGTTTTTTTTATAATCTATATACGTATATATATTGTGGGGGTGTCATATGAACTTTGTATGACTGCATCTTTCGGATTACTTTTATTTAATTAAGAATCGAATGTTTCTTTTAATAATTTTATAAGTGGTAAAAGCGTTGAACGAAGCACATTTTCTATAAAGCGCGGACTGTTCTGCCAATCAAATGAAACATACATGTAATGTTATTTCTATATCTTAAAACTTTAGTACAAAAGGAAAAAAAAATTTTTCTTTCCTTAAATATGTATTCCTATGCGTTCATTGAAGTTAGTTAGATATTGGTTTATGTCAAGTTCCTTCTTGATTTATGTTACTAAATTCTTAGTTTTCTGTAATGTGTTTTGAGGACTGTTTATATATTTTCATCTTCTGTAATGGTTTATTATTTTTCAATCAGCTTTTTCATATTTTTGTAATGTGCAAAATTTCATTGATACATCTGTTTTGAATTGAGGAAAAGATCGCATGCAACGGTGTTTATCCAAATTGTAAAGTTAAAATTTGAACGGGCAAAAACCAGTCCTTTATAGCTCTTTCTAGAAAGGATTTACTGATTCTGAGCCAGAAAATAACAACCACACATATTGACATTTCTTGAATGACAATCAACCAAGATGGTCGTAAACGGTTAATCAAACAAAACAAACAAAGAATAACATTTAAGAAAATAAGGAAAGCAGCAAGAAAGGAGTAGGCCCGGTAAGACCCCTTTTTGGCCCCAAAATATAGCAGTTTTACAAAATTGTTAAAATGTAAATTTTTAGCTATTTATTGGAAAGAAGAATACTTCTGTTACATAATTATGGGCTGTTTTTGACAATACGATGCACATGTATCGGGTACTAGCATCATTAAGTCATGCTCAATCACTGAAATCTTCGAAATTTTAGCATTTTGGTTAATTTTTAGACAGTTTCCGTTTGAAATGGAAGTGGCCGCATTTGTGTTCATTCATAATATTTAAATGTAAGTTGTATTTGATGATAATACATAACATATATAAAGGTTGAGAATGAACACGGATGTAGCCACTTTCATTTTTGACAAAAACCATCTGAAAAGTGACATATTATGGCATATTTGATAGATTTTTCATATTTAAGCTTGAATTTGAGTGTATTTAATGAATAAATCAGTTCAAATCTTTCACATAAACTAATTGAATCGACTGAAGTAGACACTTAAGTGTTTAAAAAGTGTCCAAAATCTTTCTTCAGATGAACCTGAATTTTGAGGCCAAAATCGGCCCTTACCGGACCTACTCCTTTGCCATTTTGCGACATCTGCAACTCGTAAAAATGTACCGGAGCGGCAACTAATCGAGTGACAATGAATTGTCAATAAAAAGAAGACAACTTTCGGTAATCAACTGGCGGAGAACCTTTGTCACCACATCACCATTGAAGATGAATTCATAAGGATGCCAATAGAAACCTTACAGTTGTAATGTAATGTAATGTAATGTGATTTCAAGAAGATGTTTTCTTTTAATTTTAATAAAACTGTTAATCCGACTGCAGTTTAAAGCTTGAAAATTTTACATATAATTCGAACAAATGTTCACTGTACTTCCACACTGCAGATAATTAGTACTTATCCTTTGGAGAAAGAATAACTTTTGTCAAAATAGTCGCTTGGATATTAATCAAAATCAAGACAGAATTCATCAAATAGTTATTGAGAAGGATTTATGAGAAATATTTTGTAAAACACCCGTCCTTCATTTGAGAAACAATGTAAGCGCGTGTGTTTACGCTATGTTCATGAAGCTATTAGATTTGACGTATCTTAATTTAAGACAACAATCTCATGATTTGTGGTCAAATTGATCTTTACAAACAACTAAATAGGTAAAACTTTATTTACACTTAAATTATGAAAGTTTTATAACTTTCACAGAACACAGCACTAGTAAATTGATTTAAGTCTTAAACAGTCATTTTGATCTTATATTATTTGAATAGTCTGAAAATAAAAATAAAACGTCTTCTTAAGAGGGAAAGACCTGTTCAGATCAATACAACCGGTTCAGTTCAAGATTGATTTACTTTTTTTAACCAACTTCAGATATTTTGTTGCACTAAGATCGATTAGCTCGAGTAGACAATCACTTTCATAGAACATATACTGAAAAGAATATTGTTTGTTTTCTACTTACAACAGCAAGATGAAAGACACCTCCAACAGGTCCCAAGTCTTCTGCTTCCGCAATAAGTCTAGTTGTTGACTCTACATTTGCAATATCTTGAGAAGATATCGAAACTTGGATGCCTTTACGTCTCCAATTCTGTATCATCCTGGTTTGATACCCATTCTTGATTCCTGACCTTGATGTGAGGACAATATTCTTAGCCCCTTTGTTGATCAGCCAATGACCTATTTCTAAACCCATGCCTCCTAGACCTCCTGTTATGATGTAGGATTTTTTCGGGTGACAGTATGACTTGGGTAATGCTAAAATAGTAGGAATACTGGTATCTTCCGAAATATCTCTAACCTTAAGAAAATGGAAAGAATTATATCTTAAACTCTAGGTTCTATAAGTTGAGAATGATAAACTATCAACTACACATCTATTATTACTTTTTTTTAAATAGTTCATATTTAAGGGCATAAATACCGTTATAAATCGATTGTTAGTATCAGAAAATGTAAAAAAAAAGACAGATAGAAAAACCCTATGGTTGTCTCGTGAAAATGTTTGTTGATAAAACCATTCTTAATCATTTACAGAAAACATCCGAACTTCCAAATTGATCTTTTCGGAATGACTCCCACTTGAACACTTGAACTATTTGGCTTAATAGCTTCCTTGTAAGGAGAAATCCTGCTACCAATCCTCTATCAAGAAAATCATGATAGGCAACGCAAGCTTTAGAATATCGTATCATATATACTCCGTATGCAATCGCTATTGAAATGTTGCTATAAATGGAAAGGTATAACGCTTTATATTACCTGAAAAGATTCATACGTCAGCTTCTAACTATTTTAAACACAAACAAATGAACAAAGATCTTTATACTGAAAACAAAGAAACATATGGTAGAAAAATCACCTACTTTTATTAGAATTTTTCCAATATGTTGTCCTTGTGCCATAAATCTGAATGCATCTTCTACTTGGTTGTTGTTAAATTCTGTATATTTTAGAGGTCTCACTGTTCCTGATTGTATGCCTTGTGTTAGTAATGCTGAAACTTCTTTCCAATCCTGATTATCCTCTTCAAACAGCGCATCCAACAAGATCCCATGAAAACTTACATTCTTTAGGAATATAGACATTCCTACGGAACAATATAATGAAACAAATGTCAAGTTAAGGAGTTAATATATTACAAAAGTAGATTATTTAGCAAACAGGTCTTGGTTTTGTATAGAACAGATCTCTTTTAGAGAAATGCAGGAAAGGAAGGCACAACTTCTTTTTCAAGAAATTCAATACTTTGAAACATATATTTCTGCTAGCATTTTTTGGTTTGGCATTATTTCACGTTGTTTTCTGCGGAGCGATTTTGTAGTAAACTCTAATCTAATCAGTTTTTTCTCTATACCTCTGAGTGAATAAGCATGGAATAATTCCCACTTGACATTAAGCAATGCAAGCAGCTATCAATCAATCAATCAATCTATCAATCTCCCGAGGTAAACATTCTTTCTGATAAATATCAATAGAGATGTGTGCTAGTAAAATATCAAAATTCCTACCTAAAGGTGTATTTTTGGATAGATCAAACTTTCCAATTTCAAGGAATCTGCCATGTTCAGCTATTATTCGTACACTGGCATGCAGTTTTTCTTCAGATAACGAATTCAGAACCAAATCAACACCTACAACATAATTATGACCTTGACGTTTTAGCATAAATATGAACATATTAAAGGCAAGTATTTGCGTATTACTATGTTACATTGTCATGAAAAATATAGAATAAAGTTTCGCACCAGCATTGCACCAAAAAGTTTTTTATCTGAAGTTTGATTATGATCTTGTTAAACCTGTTAAAATAATTGAATTCCAAATTGATGCATACATGGTGCGGTGGTCGAAATAAACGACTGGCAAATTTCCACAATAATGAACCTATTTAACAAGGATTATATAACAGCAATGCCGATTAAAACATGTCCTTTGCATTTGGTCAAATGTAAATTCGGATGAACATTTGTGAGTTTTTATTTTGAGTAAAAAGTCGATGCTAGTATAAAGCTTAATGTTTAATTAACAAGGAGCCAAATATTTGAGAAATGCCATGAAAGAACATTTGTGTATTGCTATTCAAAAAGGAACTTACATGAGTTTGAAATATAATGTGTTGCGTTTCTATAGGCACTCCGTATAGATATAATGTGTTAGATTTCATCTGTATCTTCAAAGTTTAACCTAAATAATACCCTGAATATGAAATTGCCAGTTGTAAGAAGGAAAGATTGTGACTGCCACCAATTTTGAAAAAGAATACAAAAAAATCCAAGACCAATTTTAAGCACAACTATGAAATATCCACGGTTGAAAATGGAAAGATGAACGAAGACTTAAAGGGAACAATTCAAACAATACGATAATGTGCTGAGAATACCCCACCTTTTAATTCAAATTATCGGAACACAGGAAGTAGGTGTCTGACAGATCCAAAAAGTACTCAAACTTTAAAAATCTTTACAGTCTAGCTGTTGACCAAACATGTTGAATAGTATTGAAGAAAAAAGTGTGACAGAAATATTTGTTAGACGAACGGATGAACGAACAGATGGACTGGGTGATGCAATATAGTCCCAATCCTAAAGTAGGGGTATTATATTTCGAAGAATGATATAGTATACCATGGTAAAAAACGACAAACAGACAAACATAGACTATTAACGACTGAGCAATAAGAACGTCACATCATTCTAAGATTGAACTCCGGCGCTCCGGAGGAGTATACATTTTTTCGCCCAATAGTGGCACCCGTTGTGCTGTTCATTGCAAATATAAAGATGCATTTTGTGATGTCATAATCGTAAATGAGGAGGAGAAAATTCAATATATCAGTGGTCATCATGGACTAAAATGGTTAATAACGGTCAACCAAATTATGATTGCGTTTCTAAAACCTTCAGCTGGGTAATTAAGAATGTAATAAATTATTGATAAATTTTGAAAATATACAAAACCATTAATCATCCCATTAAAAAGTAATGTATTTACGCTTACCTTTTCCCTCAGTCATTTTCATTATATGAGACTCAAATTCTGTTGATCTAGAATTACTGAAGTGCTTTTCATTCAATTGCGGAAATCTCTTTTGTAAATAAATCTTTTTATCTTCTGATCCAACTGTAGTATAAACATCACAACCATAATGTAAGGCTATAGAAATAGCAGCTTGGCCAACTCCTCCAGATCCAGAATGGATAAGAACTCGATCTCTAGGTTTTATCCTTCCTCTTACAACTAAAGCATAATATGCCGTTGCATAAACTACAGGGACAGTCGCTGCTTCCCCTAAAGACCAGTTGTCTGGAACTGACCACAAAAACTTATCATCGACATAAAGAGTTGTTGCTAGACCCTAAAAAAAATCAAAATTTGACATTTTCAAATGAAGACGTTTGGATGTAAACCAGGAGACACTTACCCTGTCGACGCAACCGGTCACACTTTGTTAGAGTTTAGACGATTCCCTCGGTTTTGTTTGTTACCACGATTTGTCTTCTTAATCGATTTATGAGATTTGAACATTGGTAAACTACTTTTGCGTTGCCTTATTGCACTGTCATTCGTTGTTTAGAAGTATTTTTTTCTATTGCAAAGGACAAGGTACACTAAGGGCCGTATTTGGCTCCCTATTTTGTCACACAATCATTATCATGAAATAAATGAACTTAGCATCGGAAAAGATTTGCATATATCTGTTTTTCAGAAGCACATGCGTATTTTATCTTTTAGTAAAGCAGAAACCTGATTTTGGGTTGATTAAAGTGCTTTGAATACGTCAAAAGATGGCATACAAACGGGGTTTGCCGACTAAGAAAAGAAATTATTGGCTCACATTGGCGGAGGCACTCAAAAACAAAAAAAATCTCTCCAAAAAAAAACAACAACTTTTGTCGAAATAGTAATATCGGAGCGACATCGGAGTAAGGGCTGAAAATATTCGCATGCGGCTGTGACTGCACGACATCCTTAACTAAAGAAAGAATACTTCCATAGATGAGTTTTTTTTTAATTTTTTAGATTTTGCCATTATACTTAAAATTGTACTTTTTATCTTTTTATCAAAGTGGATTTTTTTTATCGATTTAGATCAACACCTAACATGGGGAAAACATGCACTTGGCAGACACGATAAACAGCCATGTTGCAATTGTCCCTCCGGTTTAGTCACCTAAATAAATTAGATCGACGAATAGTTTTGATAATTCTATTATTTTCTTTTCAAGTAAAAAATACTCAGAATATGTAAAAGTTCGGGACAAAATACCGGGCCGGTTGCAGACGACTTTAAGAAAAAGGCAACCGCCGAAAACGACTTGTTTTGTTAAATATTAACGTGAGATTTTTACAATTAATAAGCATGTAAAGTAAACAATTTTTGCAAGTCAGTTTGTCCCAGTCCCAGATTTCTTTTGTTAAAAAAAGGTTACAAATCTATGAAATGCAGTAGGTGTAAATACATCTTTTTAACACCTTTTAGTCAGGTTGTCGGAATCAGGACAACTCGGACCAAAGACGCATCGGACCAAGACATCTCGGACAAATTTATAGACAACTCGAACCACTTTCAAAGACAACTCGGGCCAGTTTGAAACACTGTTCAGACCAGTGTTTTGTCTAGATTTGACTGAAGTTGTTTTATACGTTTACATGTATAACATTGAAATTAAATTGAACATTTCAAAGTATAGACCCCCAAGAATTTTGTTTAGATGTTCATAAAACTGTTATGTAATCTTTTAAAGTACACGAATGTCTATAAACTCAATTTTAGATTTAATGAAAGTCAACCCATTAAGCGATGAAAATTTTCATATTTTTCAGAAATAAAGTAGCTACTGTGGATTCACTTATTTTCGTGGGTAGCAATTTTCGTGGATTAAGGAAAACTTACATGTTTGTGGAAATTTAATTTCGTGGTTTTACCGAAGTCTGCTAACAAGCTTATAGACATTTTGTTATTCGTTGAAAATTTAATTTCGTGGTTAACTGGTAACCACGAAATCCACGAAAATTGGTATCCAACGAATAATAATAAATCCACAGTATATTAAAATAATTTCTATTACATCATTCTTGACTTTGATCTCCCTTTCAATGTAAAGATAATTGAGTAAATAAACTTAATGATACCAGGATTAACATCTTGTACGCAGGACGCACGTTTCGTTTACAAAATACTCATCAGTGACATGTATATCAAACATATGTGTTGATCAACATTTAATGTGAGAATTTAAAGAAAACACTGTCTTAATATTTTCCGTTGTACTTTGTCAATAAGACAGATGAAATTAACAAATAATTTATTAGATATGTCTATTTTGCAATTACAGAGACAACTCTTTTAATTGCTCTTATCAAATATATTCCATCCTCCTTTGCCGACTGTACACTTTACAGCAAAGTTAAATTATTTACCCTCATGTAATAAAATCTTGTCATTAGTCAAGAATGTTATATTAATTAAGCGCGACCTTTAAAAGTTAAAAATCTCATCAAAAAGAGGTTGGGTTAATCTTTAATATTTTTATATTGAAATGAGATGACATAGCTGATTAACACATATATCTCTGCTGTTTCTGTTTTATTAGAAGACGATGTAACTTTGCTCTCTACGATTACCTTATTTGGGCCGAATTGGGTTTAACGGGCGAATTGTTACAACTTTCAGTGTATCTTTTCCAAATGGTTACATCGAAATTATTTCACAAAGTTATTCTTTATCCTCACGCTCCAATATGTATCGTTAACGTCAAAACAGAAATTTTTTACCGTTAACGTTATTCAGTGGCAAGATTTGGGACGTTATTCGTCAATAATGTACCTCCAGTACCACCCTCTTTCAAACATTTCTGTGTTGCCTTCAGAAGTGGTCCGAATTATTTTTTAAACTGGATCGAGTTGTCTTTAAAAGTGGTTCGAGTTGTCTTCAAGAATGGTAGGAGTTGTCTTAAGATAGGTCCGAGTTGTCTTGGTCCGACTTGTCTTTTGTCCAAGTTGTCATGTATTTGGGAAAGGTAGTGTAGTGGTTACGCGCCCGCATTTGCATCAGGCTTTTTATGTTCGAATCTCGCAGTCCAGTTTTTTTCAAATATTTTGTTCTGGTATTATTTTAACATATTCCAACGAGAAGAATGGCAGGAGTAGATTCGGGATAATAATAGCAAGCAATTTAGTCGAATGTCTATACGCACATACGTTTTAGTCTTTTCAATGAGATGTTAAAGGATTTTCTTCAAGGTTCGAGTATTCCCACGTTTATTTTCGATCATTCCATTTTTTTAACAAAGAGTAGTAGCTAATTTAAGGAAGTACCTTTTGATATAGATTGTATATATATAGTTTCAGACGAACGCAAATTTTTGTAAGGTTTAACATGTTTAACTTGTGTCAATGGATAACAAAAATTGTCCTTGTTTTTAAAAAATTTGCGGCCGTGTAATTGTATGGCGTTGTCGTCGTCAGCGTCTTTAACGTCTTTTTCCGAAGATATTTGGTTTCCAGACAATAACTTCAGTATAAGTGCATAAATATCTATGAAATTGTACCACAAGGTTCGATACCACAAAAGGAATGTTGGGATTGATTTTGGGGTTATTGTCCTAACTGTTCAAGAATTATGGGCAAAAAAAAAAATTATACATATTCCTTTCCACAGTTAACAGTGGTTAATCAATTGCTATCTTTAACCTGTTTAAGGATAAAAATATGTTTGCACACGTTTGTGGTCACATAACTGAGGGTCGATCCATGAGAGTTACAGTCGTTGTGAATTGTACATATATTTTGATATTTTTGCTCTCGCTGCACATATTCTACATAAAACGGTACAGAAATCTATATTATGAATCATTAGTATTGAGAAAAAAAAAATCGTTGGTGAAGATCATCAGAAAAGTTTGTCCTAGTTTGTAACTGATTGACTTATGATGGTTTGTATCTCTAATAAACAAAACTTTGGTCACTGTGGAGATTAAACATTGTGTGTGGTATTACTATATGGCTGATATATTTTTCAATAGGTTTATCCAATTAACTTAAATTTTTGATATAGACGTCCGGGTAGTTTCGATTCAGACTCTAAGCCTGGTATTATAACAATTTGTTCACAGATTTTTACCATTGGTGTGCATGTGGTTGTTAATATCAGACTATATCTTATGATTGTATTTATCCGTTTTGGGTGTAATTTATACCTAACATAGTATGCTATACATGCTATTCTGAGAGAAAACCTTTATTCACCAAGCTGAACTCCTTAGAATGATTCTCATTGGTTATATGAACATCCTACAGAACATGGTTTAATTTTATATTAGGAAGAAACATATTGCTTATGAGGTCAGTAGGTCCGCATTAAGGTCGCTATGATTTCGGTTTTTATAGTAGAAACGTTTCCGTCAGTCCTGTTTAATTTTTTTTTTGGGGGGGGGGGGGGCGCTTTTTTCCTTTAAGTGAACACCAAGTGACTTCCATCTAAGGTTTATAATAGTATATTAATGGTTGGTTTCAAATTTTTTGCTACCAAAAAATTTCTATACCTAGTCTTTTGAAATTATAAAATTCAATTAATTCAAAGAGGGTGCCAAAAGTGACCCTTATTGTACCTTATCTTTTTGCATTTATTGTGCGAAGAGGGTTCTTCAAATAAATTTCTTGAATACAGCTTGTTAGAACTATACTCTATAAAACATACACAATGCAATAATTTTATACAGCAAAAGATAGTAAGAGGGCAGAACCAAGATACTCATAATAACGGTAAATGATTAAATCTTGTTTAAAATGTTGTTAACAATATTAAATTTTTAACTACATTGACGCTTACAATACATCAAAAATGCGATTTATGGAATTGACATAAAAATATTGGATTATTTGATGATAATGTAAGCAAAATGAAGGCGTATGACGCTTGACGATGAATACAACTCCTATTCTTTGAAAATAGTTGAAAGAGTACAAGAGCAAAAGAGAGGCGAAAAAAATAAGAGGCGAAAGATATCAAAAGGACATTCAAACTCATAAGTTGAAAAATAACTGACAACGCTGTGACTAAAAAAGAAAAAGACAAACAGACAAACAACGGTACACAAAACACAACATAGAAACACAGACTGAGCAACACAAGCCCCGCAAAAACTGGGGGTGATCTCAGGTGCTTCTGAAGGGTAATTGTGAAGTCTTGACCCATTGCTTGAATATAAAAAGTAACTCAAGATGAATATGTTGATAAATTAGATCGTTTTGAATTTTAATTCCTGTTTAAAAAAGAAAAGCAGTATCGGTAAAGATCACATTCGGAAACATCACATCTATTAAAATAAACGTTATTATAAATATAGAAATTGAGTGAAAGTATTCGCTAATAAACCTTCCTATGCTTAATGCATCTATAAAGTTTCAATTTTTTTCAAATGCTAGCAAATTTGAATTATTTCCCAAAAAATGAAGAATTACAGACTAACTTTAAAAGGTCACATACAAGAACACTATATTATTTCGGAAATGGATGTGCTGGAAGGTAGAGTTTGTTAAAAGTTTGATACTAGGATTCTAAATAGTTTCCTTGAACGATTACAGTAAACAAGAAAACCACTATGTTCACGATATAACAGTGCATTTCATTTAAATGGTTTCTAATTGCTTGAAAAGGATCATCATGCAAGCCCCGTCAATTGCCTTTGTGAACGCCTTTCAAGGAAATATGTGTTAAGTGCAAAATATACAGATAAGAAAATTTGATAATTTAATAATTGTATCATAGCTTAATGTTACAGAAAAATTAATTGTCGTAATAATATTGCCGTTCCTTTTCCTCGAATATGGCACCAACGAATAATAACCAAATTTGCTTACTTGACCACCGAGACGGGTGCCACATGTGGATCAATTCTGCTTACCCTTCCAAAGCACTTGAGACCCCCCTGTATGCATTGGTTTCGCTTTGCTTAGTCTTTGTTTTCTATGTTGTGTTATGTGGACTGTTGTTTGTCTTAATGATGTTTTGGTATTTTGTCATGGCGGTGTCGCTCTGTCTTCGACTTATTGAATTGAAACCCTCTTTTGTATCTCACTCCTTTCTTTAAAAATAAACGACCTTCATTTCAATAAGGTGACAACATAGTCTTTCTTTTATAAATAAAACGACATTGACATATTTCAAGCATTCAGCTCGATTAAATTTTGTGTTAGATATATAACTTTTGTAATTGAGGATCATGAGTTTAACACAAAGAAATCTAAACATATTGTACAAACAGTTTAACGTATACCTTTGACGAAACAAGTCCCATAACTCTATTTCCGAAATCATCTAACCCTGAAACTTCCATTCCCAAAATGCAATCCTGCTCTGCTAGCTTTCCTGGAATAGCATCAGCGTGTAGTCTCCCCGTTGCTAACATAACGTCTCGGAAATTAAGTGATCCATAGTGGACATTGCACAGTCGGTTACCTTTGTTTTCTAAGTAGTTTGTTAAAGGAGATTCTATCCACGCCAAACTTGACAGATCTCCCTTCGTTTGAATATTGACATAAGCATGTTGACATAACTTTTGACCATCGAGCATTTCTAAAACAAGGTAAATTTTATAAAATTACCATTATTTTATAGTTAATTGACGGGTAACTGTATTGGGGACAGTCGTAAACAGCTGCAAATGAAATAGATATCAACTAAATAAAATATTGGGTCACCATACGCCGTTCAACAATGAGCAAAGCCATGCCATATAGTAAGCTATGAAAAACCACGACGTGACAAAATGTGATTATGATATCGAAGTACCAGGAATTCTTTCTTGAAATTTGTTAATAAATGCAAATTGAAGCTTTGTATCTAACTAAGTCGCACATCTCTTTAGAACAAAAATCATATTTTTGTATCATTAAAAAAAATAGAAAAATAACTCTTTTTATTCTAACGGTTTATCTTTCTAATTAAAATCTTACTTGAAACTGATATCTAAATGTAATATAGATTTTAGGTGCAGTGTGATTGAGATGGTCAAATCGTCCCATATTTATAATATTTGTATAAATCTTTGACAGAACAAATAACGTAACCAAAGTCAATGAACCTTACTTTTTGTCAATGGTAAATGTTTGAATGACCCCCATTGTCCATTTTTGTATACATTTAACGCTAGGTCCTTCCGAATCAGCTGCTTAGTTTCCTCATTTTTTGTTGAAATATCCAAAACTGTTTTTCCATAGTTGAAAATACATCTGTAAAACAATTGAACTTTTGATTTATTTAGAATAAACTTGCAAAAACAACAGCATATATGTTTTGTCCTTAAAACAAATGGATATCGGATAGATTTATAATACCTATTATTTGAAATTAATAGAAACAAAATCAAACACCACGAAGAGCAGCACCAACAAAAAGATAATATGAAGTAAATGGATTGATAAATTTCGTGCGTCTATGCACTTTTTTGGATACACCTTCATTAGGATTATTACACATTATTTCAAAACAGACCGATAATTTAACACAACTTAATGGAAGGGAGATAAAAACTCGTAAATGATATTCGGCAAAGGCATCGTTAAAAAAGTAAAATCGAGTTGTTTGAATCTTATTTCGTTTAAAACTGTATTTTGTCGGACAAATTAAAATCTTCGAGTTGAAATTACACTGACGAACGACACAGACTGTTATTAGTAACATTCTTGATAAAGAAAAAGAATATTATTTTATAGAAACTTCAGTTAATTCCATATGTGCATATTTTAGATATAAAATACCTCAGTTTGTTTCCACCAGGTTCCCTTCTTAGACAATTAACCATACCAATAACACCACTTAGTGGCTGAGAATTCACAGTTATCCAAAGGGTTTTCTGTTGTGATGCCATGAACTCGTTTTTCAAAACATCAAACCAAGATCCATTCAACTCATCAACTGGTACAATAACAATTTCTTCGTCAACTATATTTCGTTTAAGACGGAGTAGGAACAACGTAGAGAAATGACCTGAACGCTTGAAGATCAATTCATAACCAACTTCTTTGAAGATTCGATCCCATCTTTGCTCATCACAGTAACAATAACAACTTCGTTCATCTTCAATTTTAAGTGGAACTTTCCACAATTTATCTAGCGAAAATGCTACTGGAAAATTATTTGTTATTTCCTCGATAAGAATGAAGCCATTTTCTTGAACGGCAGATGATAAATATGACAATGCTGTTTTGATGTTGTTTTGTGTATAGAGAAAGTTTCTGGCAACTACAATGTCGATTTGTGTGGAATTTGAAGGAAAATATGATGTAGCATCCCATTCAACATAATTCATATCACTTGATTCTTCCGCAGAGATTTCCTGACTTGAAGCTACAGTGTAAGTGATATCTGTAAACGGTCGATCATTTACCAGTGGGAAAATATACTTATCAAACGATCTTACAGTAGCTCTAACTTCCAAAATATTGAATCTGTAAGACGCAGTATTTTCAATAGCTATATCCAAGCACGGTACTATAATTTTTGGACGAGACATCAATGTGACCTCTTCCATGATCTCCCAATTTCCCTTTTCCATTTTGTTTTCTTCTATATTTTCGAATATGCTTTTTAATTTCATTGGTAAGTCGTCGCATGTTGCAATAGATCTTTTTGGATCTTTTATAGAAGGCATTTTACTTTTTATCTGGTTCAGGAATGTTTCTATTCGATTTATATAGGTCTTTTGAAGTCCGTTCTTGCATAAATTCTCCAGGTTGTAGACGACATATGCATTACAATTGTCAATACAGTTTACTATTTCATTTCCTACAATTTCATCTGAATTGTGAGGAACAAAACAATATTTTTCCAGGACAGGATAAGTTTGTTGACGTCTTGGTGCCATATTTGAATGAAATCCTAAGATTTCGATACCAGAAGAGATCACTACGTTGAGATCTTGTTCGACTCTGACAAAGGATGCTGAAATAATTTGCCATTATTTGCAAACAAATACATGTCGTTTTCACTTTCAAGGGCTTTTTAATAAACCTAATGAAAGATTTTCTTTTTATCTAAAGTAAATTCAGTTTTTATACATACTAAATCATTATTGAAACTGTTAAATGTGAAAAAATTTTTAAATGCTAACAATAAAAATAGTTAAAAATATTTTCACTTTACCACATATATTTAGATTCATTGAAATAAAAAAATATGAAAAATTGTGACATACATTTTTGTTTTTCTTTAGTGTGACGAAGGTGATCTATGTGAGCTTGTGGGTCAATCGAAACAGCTGCAATCCTTGTGGGTAATCGCAAGCAATTTTCTCCAGTACATAAAATCCAAATTTGCAACATAGTGTCTAAGTAAGATACCCAGTTATCAATCCATTCTAATTCACCTCTACTACCTGTAATATATTATGTACTTTTATTTTGGTTTTGCACAAGGCCATGCATTTCTCAAGTTGTTTATGACGTCGACTATGCACTTAATTTATTTAATTAATGTGAACTGATAGATACCTATGTATGGAACATCATTATTTATGTATTCATTATTATTGACTTTGAACTATTTTCAGTAACTGCGAGGACTGTCATATCGTTTTTTTTGTGATGTTGCCGATCTGATGAGCCAAACCATTTTCAACTGATTTTTACAGTTCATTTTTTTTTTGTTACACCTCTTTTTAGGGTTAGGGAAAGGTTGATCGCTCACAAACCGATAAAATCCGACCACATTCTATATGGTTTTTATTATTTTATTAATGGTATTATAAAACAAGTACTTGATTGAATACTTTAAAATGCCTGTACCAAGTCAGGAATATGACAGTTGTCTTCCATTCGTTAGATGTGTTTGAGCTTTTGATATGCCATTTTATAAAGGACTTTCCGTTTAGAATTTCCCATGGAGTTCGGTATTTTTGTTATTTTACTTTTTAAATATATCTATTTTTTGTTTGCTTCGAAATTTAAAAGCAGTACATACTTGTTTGACAAAAGATTGAATTGAAATATGGTTTATTCAAACAACGTAGGGTAACAAAAATAAAACCGGAATTTGTTTTAGTATTATTCATAAGTGAATATAATTTAACAGCTCTAGAGTAACAGAAATTTCAATTTGAGGTTTTAGTGTAATGATTGAATCAAATACTGAATGTCATCGTGGTTTCGATGTGTTATGTGGTTGATGTCAAATCGATGTCAAACTTGCATCTCCTTTTTATCACATATCTTGTCGAATAGAGAGAATATGAAGAGTTTTCAAGTTCAGGTCTCGGTGATGCAAAACAATTACCATTAATTTCAATATATTTATCTAATTCAAGGGTTGCTAGATTTTCAAACTGAATTTTATGAAAACAATCCGACTTTGTTTACGGGATAGTAAAGTAACATGCAGGGGCAAGCAATTATGTAAACATTAAACATTAGATAAATCAGTACATGCAATATTCTACCTTCTATATTAGTGTTAAGGATGCCCCGAAACTCCCCACCGTACTCATATCCTCTAAGTCTTAATTCCTTATACACATCTGTAGAGGTCAGTTGAAATTTTTCTTTTTGGTCCATATTGACTTTTTTGACAGGCGAAGATAAAACTGATATAGAACCACTGCATTTCAGCGTGTCATTTTCAGAGATCTCAAATGTTCCTGTTGATTCCATTATATTTACTTTTAACTTGACTTTGCCTATGAAATTATAATTATAAACTTACAAAAACAAAACAAATAATCTTAAAGCGATACAGTCTAAGAAACAAAACTGGACAATCACACGTTATTTCTATATCAAAAGTATATCTTAATTAACCTTGATATTTCTGGTAAATGATAGTTCGTCTTTTTCTGATATGAGACTGTCTGCAAGCAATATTTTCTTCTGATAATCCGTTTTAGTAAATATTCTTAAAAATTGTGTTAACATGACGGCATCAGGAATTATGTGTTAGTTGACATGTTTCAAATGTATCAATGTTAAGTTTTTTTTGGCGAGTTGTTATGTTCTGGCATGTACTTCAGAATTTCTTAATTCCGTGAAAACATACTAGCAAACTAGTATGTGCGATTTTAGTTCAGGTTTTTAATTACAATTTACTTGAGTGGCCTGAATAGTTACAAATTGTTAACATTTTACCGCATGCAGTGACTTTAACACAATATATGCGTGTTCCAGTCATCTGAGATAACAGCAAGGGTCGTTCGAAACTGTTTGCTTTGAGTTTGGCTGATTCAATTATTTATTTGGTCTTAGCAGCTAAAAACAGTATATAAACTATATGAATTTATTAATAGTCGCAATGATAAAAATGATACACTTGAAATCTAACAAAACATGTATTTGTGTTCCATTCCTTCTTGTTATGATTGTAACTAGACAAAGTGATGCCCCCGCACTCCACTCTGAAGTAACAGTATTATAACAAAGTTAATGTAGGACTTTCTTTGAGATATTGTGTCTGAGAGACACAAATGATGCCACCGCAGATGCAAAGTATTATTTTAAAATACACAAAGTTGCGCATGGGAGTACATAGGTCTATGGTTCACTGTAGGAGAAGTTATGCGGAAACGTTATGCACCTCTTATGCAAGTATATACTCCAAAAAATAACAAAGGTATATGTAAAAACATCCAGTCAAGTGAAAACTTCCTAGCATTCAAACTGTAGATGGAGTTATCTGGAATAGCTATGCACCTCTTATGCAAGTATATACTCCAAAAATGACAAAGTTCAACTATCTCCCAAAAGAGCAAACATTAAAATAAAATCAAAACCCTGACCACATGCACACCTTCGGTATATGTAAAAACATCAAGCAAAGTGAAAACTTCCTAGCATTCAAACTATAGAAGGAGTTATCTGGAATAGCTATGCACCTCTTATGCAAGTATATACTCCAAAAATGACAAAGTTCAACTATCTCCCAAAAGAGCAAACATTAAAATAAAATCAAAACCCTGACCACATGCACACCTTCGGTATATGTAAAAACATCAAGCAAAGTGAAAACTTCCTAGCATTCAAACTATAGAAGGAGTTATCTGGAATAGCTATGCACCTCTTATGCAAGTATATACTCCAAAAAATAACAAAGGTATATGTAAAAACATCCAGTCAAGTGAAAACTTCCTAGCATTCAAACTGTAGATGGAGTTATCTGGAATAGCTATGCACCTCTTATGCAAGTATATACTCCAAAAATGACAAAGTTCAACTATCTCCCAAAAGAGCAAACATTAAAATAAAATCAAAACCCTGACCACATGCACACCTTCGGTATATGTAAAAACATCAAGCAAAGTGAAAACTTCCTAGCATTCAAACTATAGAAGGAGTTATCTGGAATAGCTATGCACCTCTTATGCAAGTATATACTCCAAAAATGACAAAGTTCAACTATCTCCCAAAAGAGCAAACATTAAAATAAAATCAAAACCCTGACCACATGCACACCTTCGGTATATGTAAAAACATCAAGCAAAGTGAAAACTTCCTAGCATTCAAACTATAGAAGGAGTTATCTGGAATAGCTATGCACCTCTTATGCAAGTATATACTCCAAAAAATAACAAAGGTATATGTAAAAACATCCAGTCAAGTGAAAACTTCCTAGCATTCAAACTGTAGATGGAGTTATCTGGAATAGCTATGCACCTCTTATGCAAGTATATACTCCAAAAAATGACAACGTTCTACTATCTCCCAAAAGAGCAAATATAAATCAAAATCAAAACCCTGACCACATGCACACCTTCAATATATGTACAAACATCAAGCAAAGTGAAAACTTCCTAGCATTCAAACTATAGAAGGAGTTATCTGGAATAGCTATGCACCTCTTATGCAAGTATATACTCCAAAAATGACAAAGTTCAACTATCTCCCAAAAGAGCAAACATTAAAATAAAATCAAAACCCTGACCACATGCACACCTTCGGTATATGTAAAAACATTCAGTCAAGTGAAAACTTCCTAGCATTCAAACTGTAGGAGAAGTTATCTGGATTAGCTATGCACCTCTTATGCAAGTATATACTCCAAAAATGACAAAGTTTAACCATCTCCCAAAAAAGCAAATATCAATAAAAATCAAAACCCTGACCAGATGCACACCTTCAATATATGTACATACAGCCAGCAAAGTGAAAACTTCCTAGCATTCAAACTGTAGGAGGATATATCTGGAATAGCTATATACCTATAATGGGACGGACGGACGGACAGGGATTAAATATTTGCCCCCAAACTTTCAGTTGCGGGGGCATAAAAAGGATTTTCAACCTATATCCATGCATGGTTAACTCACCTTCATTCTGAATTATGATTGTCGAATGGATGGCCACATTCTCAAATTTTACAGGCATTTCATTATAAAGCTTGCCTTTCATCTTTGCAAATGACTTCCATGTTAATACAAGGAGACCAGTTGCAGGCAACAAGACGCGTCCATCAATTCTATGACCATTAAGATAACTGTATTGTGAATTATTTGACATTTCAATTTCATGTGTGGATCCACTATTTGACCCTAATGCCTCTGCAGAAAAGTTTTCTGCAATTGGTACATCCCATGTCACTGAACGATCCCATTCTACCAAAGAAGATATCATTGGGGTTTCTTTTGGCACGGGAAACTTAATTGGTTGACAGATCTTTAAAGGATCCAAGTTGATTCCATGTAGGAAGCACTTGAATGATAAAGAATGCATACATGAAATACAGCATCATTGTACACAATTTTATATAAAGAAAAATAACACTACATATAACATGTTCAATATAATTCCGTAATTTGATTGTAGACAACAATGGCGAAGCATTCAAGAGTTTTACATCTTCGTATAAACATTTTATTCTAATGGTTGTGGCCTGTTATCTTTTTTCCGCACAAGAGATATTTCTTGTATCACACTAAACGGACTGTGACACGGATAAGTGAATTAAAAGATTGTAAATTTGGTAAGCATATCCTGCAATTGTTTCAAAGTTGCGACATTTGTATTGCATATTGGTTAAGTCAATGCTGACTTTAAAAGATCACATCCCTACTTTCCATTGGGGATTTGTAATTTCTTCAATAATATAAAAAAAACATTAAAATGTTTCGCCACAAAATCGTCCTTTTGTAAAACTTGATTTCATTCTGAAGCGTACAAAAAGCTGGAAAACATATGATGTTATCAGCAGTTGTCTGGGTTCATTACCCACAATCATCCATATTGTAAGCGGTTGTATATTTGAAGTGAAGCTTGCAAAATCCTCGAACAATTTTTCACCAGTACAAAGAAAATTTTTACAATAAGAGAAATCGGTTTAAGAACTCGTGAGAACGGAATGACTCTTGATATAAACTCTCGTTATTCAATTTCAATTATAGTAATACATATGCGCAAGATTGTGAATATTATGATTTTCAATTTTTCCTTTGGCACAAAGACTATTCCAACAGAGTTATGAGGAAGAACGACTTGGATCGACACAACATACATATTACGGTCACCATCACGAATTGGTTGACCGACACGACGTGGATACGATGTGTCGGTGTCTAAATTTACTAGCGACATTTTTAGCGGTCTTATATTTTTGGTGACGTTTACCCTTTCAACGCACCCATTCTTTTTGGAGTTTATGCAATTCTCTCAATGTTTTGTTACCTAATGTCTCTTCCTAATGGATTAAAATACTTTGAACATCAGTAAATTATATAGCTACTGTCACCTTAATTTCTAAATATAAATATGATATCAAATTAAAGATTGCTGACCCTATGGTTTCTTATGAACAAATTTGTTTACATACTTTCCTAAGCTTGTGAGGAAATATGCAATATTATCTTGGTGATCTCTCTTCATAAGCCCCAAATAAGTACACTTCGGTCCAAGGGATCTTTTAAGTATGGCTTGAAGTAAACAATGAGGTGCAATTTCTATGACAACAGCATTGTTACGCACATGCTTTAAGGCTTCATGAAAAAGAACAGGGCTCACTAAGTTGTTAACATGGTAGTCAGCGGACGAATATTTAGCCATATCCAAGTGCCAATTGTCCTCTGGAATTGACGAACTTATCCATTTCTTAGTTCTTGGTTTTGGCACGATCACCTGTAAGAAAAATGAGAAAATCCCAATTTTTAGCAAACAGTTAATCAATTTGTGCACACAAGTAGTTCTATTCATTATGTTCCATACACTCCATTTCGTTATATTATCTTCGAAATGAAATCTAACATGCAGTGCAGATGAATTTTAAGGTAACAAAGAAGGATATGACCTTTTGTTCAGGTCCCATTTGGTCATACAGCTCTTTACTTTGGCTTGAAGACACTTTTTAGTTTGAGTGTTCTTAATGACGGAAAATCAAGAAAATCGCTTCTTATGCACATAATTTATAAAGGGTTGTTTTCTTATTTACCATTTCAACACACTAAATATGTCTTTTTTGAAGTTAATGCGATTGTATCAGTATTTATTTTATTACTTGATTATGGATTGCATATGATTTGTTGGAACATCGTTTATTATAAAAAGAGAAAAACAAAGTGACCGTGTGAATGAACAGAATAGAAATCTACAATAACTTACATTTGACAACGTAGATTTCAGTGCTGGTGCAATTTTTGCCATTTCATTCGAATGGAAAGCAATACCAGCACTATTGACGTTCTTTGCAAAGATTTGTTTCTTCTGAAGATCTGTTACAAATCTTGTAACAGAGGCTGCAGGACCCGAAATTGTAACTGTATCTTCGGAGTTATGACAGGCAGGAACTACACCTGGCGGACACATTTCTATAGCTTTTTCCCATGTCAAACCTATACAAGAGAAATCCTTTGAGTATCAACAAATGCAAAATGATAAGTCTTTAACATTTTATTGAGATCTATCTCTTCATTATTGCAATAACAGCAAAACTATAATTTCTGGTAGAGTTCACAACTGTTTAATATGTATTTAGGTATTCTGAAAAAAATAATGTTCACAAACAATGATTTAAGAATAAGTATCTAAAAATCATTGGGTTAAAACTTAAAAATACGGCTTTTGAGGGCATTAAGATTTTTTGGTCTCATATAAACTACTGTTAATTGAAAACTAAGTGGAGATACAATTGTTTTCAGAAACTTTTAGTCTAACTTCACATGAAGACATACGACAAAAACATACACCCCTTATAGAGATAGACTCTTTTAAATGTTTAACCACTGAATCTAAGCTCATGTGTCTCAAATGGTCTTCTTTCTTGGAAGTTGCAGTATGTTTATATGAAAAGAAGGAGATGTAGTTTGATTGCAAACAAGACAACTAACCATCAGAAACCAAAGGACGAGGATTTGAACAACTATAGGTACATGTAGTTCTACGGTCTTCAACAATGAGCACAACCCATTACGTATAGAAAACTTAAGAGGCCTTAATATAACAAAATATAAAACAATTATAAAAGAACAAAATAACGGGCTGAATTATGCTAAAACAAATATGACAGACAGCAACCAAGGACAACTACTAAATTATGTACATGTATACACACTTTTGACTTGGGCCAGGCTCTTAAAGAATATGGCTGGGTTTAATATTCTTCTGAGCGCGCAAACCTCCATAACCGACAGCAATGGTGCCACAGTACAATATAAGAGTAAACTATAACATCAGTTGGATAGGGCCTGACTCATAAGATCGGCACAAAGCCTAAAAAAAGTAACAAAAAGACAAAACACTTAATTTCCTGCTCAAATAATACTTGTGTTCGTCGTTCTATTTGCGCGAGTTTGCAGTTGAGTCGCGGGTGTCAATATGTGCAACTTGTTCATAAATAAAAAACAAAATACAGGAGGTAGGCATATCCGAAGTCGATTAAAATTTTTACTAAAAATAAAAATAAATAGTGATTTATGGTGAAATATGATTCCATCAGTAGAAGTTTGTGATATGTTTAATATAGATTTTCCCGTTGAATTATCTTTAAAGAAATTGATCTTATTATCATTCTTTGACTTATGCTGTACTTGTCCTGTTTTTGTCTACTCACAAATTACGGTATTTTTTTTTTAGATAACCATTAATTCGTTAATTCATAGTTTGGGACCAGATCATGAAGTTTCTGTTGATTTACTGCATTGGTGCTCTGTACAGCTGATTCTGTTCATTTCACAGGATTGTGTGCTATTTTTTATAAAGTAATAAGTAAGAGATGGAACAGCAAACGTAATGAAAGTTTTGAACGGCATATCATAAAATCAAAAGTTTCTTTTAGTTTGCATTACAAAATGACAAGCATTCTTTCCAAGGGTAACATTTTGAGTATTATGTTTTGGTACTTAATATACATTATTGTTTTTCTGCAATGATTTTTTTGTAATTTGGAGAATATGATACATCTTTTATAGCCATGTGTAACTTGTTGAAGACTTTATGTTGCCTTCTTAATGTTTCTTGGATATGAGAGTTGTTAGGTTACATTGACATGATTACCTTGATCTCCCTTTATTTTAATATCTTCAAAATTAAACATTTTTGATAATTAGTATAGTTTATACGTTTCCTTAATTATGATTGCTAACAAAGGCACACTTCCTACCAACAGCAGCCATGCCACCTGGTGGTAAATTTGCTTCTTGGATACATTTGCCTCTCCAGAAAGCTGCTAGAATAGTTTCTTTTGCTGTTAAGGAACCATCGGCATATCCACAAGCCAGCTCTCCAACTGAATGACCTATAATTCCATCTGGCATGACACCAGTGACAGATAAGAGGTCAATCAATGCTACCTGTAGAATGATAACGGAAACACACACATATATTTTTCAAACATTACAATGTAAGAAATATCAGGATCTGTTGCACTTTCGTTTATGTTTTGATTTGATATCAAATAGTACAAAAAAGACAAAATAATTTGCTGAAAACTTGCTCTTTTTGTTGTACTCTCAGATTAACAATCTCTTATTAACAAAAGTGTTTTACAATTACTTTTCAATGTACATATTAAAAACAAAACGAAAAGCCAGGTTGAACGTTTACTGATTAAAATGATACCTGTATTGCAGCGATACAAATAAAACAATTTAATGTATCCTTGAAATCGTTCTCTAAACCTCTCATCAAAAGATTATGAAGTTCTACACCATATGGATGTAACACTGTGTCAGATCTCAATATTGACTCTCTAAATGCTGGAATGACCATCATCTGTTTCCCATCCCAGAAAATACAAACCAAACTGGACGATTTTCCTTACATGTTACTGCCTGAAACAATCCATGAAATATTTATAATTAATTCACTGTTCTGTAGTTACCTCTTCATCATGAATAGATATATTAACATTCTAGGTTTTCAATATAATGAACCAACTTTTTTTAAATTTTGAAATCCTTAATCGGTAACTTGGCTCCTACTGTTTAAACTTATATCTTCTCCTTTACCTATGGTTTTCTTCCTTTGTATCTCTTTCTTAAAATATTTGGTTCTTTCGATTGATGTACAGATGTTTGATTCTGAACGTTTAGTTTGAAGTACACAATCTGTAGAATAGTTCCATGAATAAATGGACAAACAAGCAGATGGAGTAACTGTAACAGGTTAAGATAACTGGGATTTGTTACAGCCTAGACATTTCTTAAGGACATTGTGACATTAAGGTATTGCTATTGTTTTTATTTGGTAACATTCTAAATATAAATTTTGATCTAGAAACCATATAATAACATGCATAATGTGAACTTTTACGGCCAAGTATTCTGAAGGAATTCAAAAGATGTCATTATTCAATATGCAAGATCTGGTGAAAAATGATAATTCCATTAGCAAATGCCAAAACGAAATGATGGTTAATATGGACACGATGATATGATCCAACCAATCCTATCAGACTTGAATTGTTCATGCAAACGACCTCAAAGAAGCATCACCTCAACATTACATCACATTTTCCCAAACGATGTCAAAGTCCCATAACTTCCAAAAAATATTTAAATGGAAATATCAATAAGGTATATCATGACAAATAAGTCTACAAAAAGGAGGAACTGTACGTATCTGACGACAAAAGGACAAAAATTATCATATTGTATTAAAACACGTGTTATGGCTTTTCAATTGGAGAACTGTATTAATTCAGAATGAAAAACGAATCAAAAAGCTTTTACAGAGTATTGCACTGTAATAGAATCAACTGGATTTTTTTTTATATTTAGCCTTCCCTACATGCTGCAAGTAAAATCAATTTACGATACTAAAATATAAGTTTTGATTCGAGAAATTTAAAAAGGTAATAGACTTATCTCTTTACCTCACATTTTCGCTTCTTAAGGAAGTTCGCTACTCTTTTTCAAAATAACAAGCTTTTTAAAAGACTGTTATAAATTGAAAGTAAATGAATAAATGAACTAAACAAGCAGAAAAAAATGAAGGGTCCGTGTGCTTGTTTTCGAGATATACGCCATTGAAAATTTGGCGGGAAGTGATTTTCTCTAGATTGTTTGTACATTTAACATAGGCACCTTTTTTCTTTCAAAAACTATGAATAAATAACAAGGATTTTATATGATTTTCAAAAATGGCTTTTTAAACTATATGTTTTAAATGTATGAAAAGAAAAGAAGGGGTTTGCGGGCAAAAATTTTAATGGCACTACATGGATAAAACCAGAGGATTCCGAATATCTGGCAAATATTCAAAAACATGAGGAGCAAACATCCTTTATTGATTTACGAAATTTTAACATCGGTAAACTACTGCCACATAATTTACCGCACCATGTTTATAATCTCACTGTTACTATGGACTGTAAACCCCAGTATAAAAAAATGTTGTTAGTAAACTATATTGTAATGGCTACAGACTGAAATATTCATTGTTTCAACAACATGAACTTCTTAAAAAAAAAGAGATGAAAGACACAATAAAATCGTTCCCTGGGAAATACAAAATGATTCCAATATTGTAATTTTGATTGATATACATAGTATAGTGTCATCGAATTAAATTAATAACACAGCTACTGTGCTATTTTCTAATTTCGAACATTAGAAAGAAAAAACTGCGAACAAAATAAGAAATAAAACCTGCGACTGAAGGAAAATTCAATAAGAATAAAGACCTTATGTAAGATTCCCAGCACCTCATTATGTCAAATGGTAACCTATCGTTTTGTTGTTTTTAGATTTCCGGTGCTTTCATTTTGTGTGGTGGCTATCTTTTCAACTAAAATAAAATCATCATTTAATGCTTTACATCTTCACAAAGCTTCTAACTTTCTTTGTCTATGAGTCAATGATTTTAAATCCTGTATATCTGTATATCTATTTAAAATTCAAAGTTACTGGTCGCAATTTTAAAATATATAAAATATAAAACTATGGAGGAAACACTATTTGTAAATACTCAAAATCGTAGTGAATAAGAAGCTTCGCCAAGGAAAGTGTTACCTTCCATGAGAACAATACGTCATACCTGGTAGAAGTGTAAAAGCGAGTAACGTTACGATTCCGGTAATGGTTAATCAAAAATCTAGCAGCTAAATTTACGAAATTTTCTTCTGCGCAAAATGTTATGACTTACTTGGATTTCTTGTATCTGATGTTCTGCATTTAGAACAGTAAAACCTCTATAGATATGACTGCAATTTCGAGTTTCATTTAGTAAAGAATGGAAATGAATATTTCTGCTGTGTTCCTCGGCTGCGGCCATAACTCTGTCTAAGCCCTTCTTTGTCCTTGAACTATAGACGAATAATCGTTTTAACAGGTAACATGATGTTATATTACTGCATTGATGAGGTCGCAAAACGATATGAGAATTTGAACCTCCAAATCCAAAAGAGTTCACAGCAACCAATCCACCGTTAAAATATGTGTGTTCTGTGACTACTTTCAGTTTACCGTTGGAAAGTCCCGGGATATCAGGACTTGGTTTCATATAGTGTAGATTTGCTGTTATCTGATTACTTTCCATACAAATTATCAATTTTGTGACTGCTGCTAAACCTGTGTATCAAAAAAATAAAAACTCAAGGCTGATATAAATGTTGGCCTGGAAAAATAGATACAAGTATATCCTGTCACATATTGATCGATAAAAGGGCAACAAAAATACAAGTCTTAAAATAAATTCATTCGCTATATGGATCAGAAGAACTTAACGTTTCTCAACTTGTATTTTCACAATTACTAATCATGAACATCTGTTCAATATAGACTTAAACAAACGGGACGAATTTTGATAAAATTTCTTTTGGGTGATAAATAGTAATGTCCTTATATGAAGTTTTTATGTGTTTGCAGTGAGAGTTCTTCTTCCTAATAGTCTTTTTGGAGTGCAGATCCGAGTAGCTATAATAACCGTTATTAGAACCGTATCAAGCAATTTACCTAAATACTATGGGCAAGGGTAGTTGGTACATTTATACTCAATATGATGACATAGTTAATGTGAAATTGAAATCGTCGAGTACGACAAATATTCTGTTTGTCAGTTCAGCACCGATTTCACAAATAAACCCCATCAAACGCAGACCTGTTCATATCTGTAGTGTCCAAAAATCGGTGATCAATTGAAGAATATATTTTTGGAAAGTAATGAAAAAATTGTATTGTATAAATTGTGTATATTTTAATATCATTCACAAAGTAAACCTGTGTAAAATGATATTCATATTGTTTACGTAATATCATTTTTTTTAGTAAGCATTGGTTAACATGTAAACATTTTAATTGGTGCAATCTGCTGGCGTATGATATTCATATGTTTTCTATTCAAATTTACTTCTTTTAAAGCAATTGATTTTTTTTATAATTTTTTTTAAAGAAATCGTGCGTTAAAAGCTTGATGGCGTATGCTATTCATAGGTTTTCTATTCAAATTTACTTCTTTTAAAGCAATTGACTTTTTTCTTTTTTTTAAAGAAATCGTGCGTTAAAAGCTTGATGGCGTATGATATTCATAGGTTTTCTATTCAAATTTACTTCTTTTAAAGCAATTGACTTTTTTTCTTTTTTATAAAGAAATCGTGCGTTAAAAGTTTGATGGCGTATGATATTCATAGGTTTTCTATTCAAATTTACTTCTTTTAAAGCAATTGACTTTTTTTCTTTTTATTTAACGAAATCGTGCGTTAAAAGTTTGATGGCGTATGATATTTATAGTTTTTCTATTCAAATTTACCTCTTTGAAAGCAATTGACTTTTTTTCTTTTTTTATAAAGAAAGCGTGCGTTAAAAGTTTGATGGCGTATGATATTCATAGGTTTTCTATTCAAATTTACTTCTTTTAAAGCAATTGACTTTTTTCTTTTTTTTTTTAAAGAAATCGTGCGTTAAAAATTTGATGGCGTATGATATTCATAGGTTTTCTATTCAAATTAACTTTTTTTAAAGGAATAGACTTTTTTCTTTTTTTTTCAAAGAAATCGTGCGTTAAAAGTTTGATGGCGTATGATATGCATTCAGATTTACTCATGAAATATTATTTTGATTACTGATGTGTTATAGTTTAGCAATAACGGATAAATACTAGTTAAAAGAAATACCTGCTGCGGGTTCTGTGTGACCAATGTTTGATTTAATCGAGCCAATCAGAAGAGGACTTGTACGGTCCTTACAAAAAATATCGCAGATAATATTAAGTTCCTGTGTGTCACCAGCTTGCGTACCAGTTCCATGAGCCTCTACATACTCTACTGCGCCAGGATTAACAGAAATATCACGATACACACTTTGTAATAAATGTTTCTGTGCAGTTCCAGACGGAAATGTTATTCCTTAAAACAAACAGCAAAAATTGTTAGCAAACAATATTCAAAAAGTCTAATTTTAATTGGACCTAAGTATATTTTATGGCTGCACATCCGTATACATTTTAAATGTTATCAGGTTAATGCCACAGCATTTATTATATCAATCAAAATGATAGTACCAATTAACGTGCACCAGATCCCCATTGCGTCAATTATTGTCTTTGTAAAGCCAACACTAATTCCACTAACAAATACACGGAAAATTATATCATCTAAATGTTGGATGCTTTGATCAGCATGTATAAGCAAACTCAACATAGATACCAGGATTTAAATTTTGTACGCCAGGCGCGCGTTTTGTTTACACAAGACTCATCAGTGACACTCGAATCAAAAAAAGGTAAAAGAAAGGCCAAATGAAGTAATATAAGATTTCTTAGATTTTATAACGGTGCTATATTGGAGGCATATAAGACATTTCTCATGCAATTAACATACAAAAGAAATGATACATGAAATTGGTAGTTTCAAAAGATTGAAAAGTGAGCCCATAAATATTTTGTTCACATTTCTCTAAAATATTTTTAAGAAGTAAAATACATCGCAAAGTTATTTCTGGTTTGCTTATGGCAGATTTGTTTTGATGCACTACAATGTTCTTTTTATATCAATAAAATGTTTGCATATTTGAACTAACGTCTGGTTCACAAAGCAACTGCCAACCTGCTTAAGGGTCAATAGGCTTGTTTAAATTCAATATTCAATGTGCAAAATCGTAAGATAAAATTAAAGTTTTATGAAGTTTTAAACGCTAGCTGAACTTAATAGAATTTCCATGGTAATATTTGTTGTTATATTCACTTTAGCTAATCTTACCTTTTTCCTTCCTTCCATCATTGTTTGATCTAGTATGTAATATAGTACAATATATTCTCTTCGATACATTTTGTTTTTGTAAAAACACAGCAACAACACCTTGACTTCTGCAGTACCCATCACCTACCAAAATTAAAGTTCGTTACTGTTTCGAATTGTTACAACAGAGCATGATTTCACTTACAAAACTACTAACGTATCAGTAGGTGTTCGAGTCCGAGACCCATGGTACAATGAGCCAAGCTCTATCAACTGACTAAACGCGTGTTTGATCAATTGAAGCACTGCCGAAAAATTTGTATTGGGTTATTTAGTTTGTTTTATATGGTTTTTTCTCTTTTTTTTTCTCCTTTTGGTGGTTTGTCTTATCATTATTCGTAAACGTGTGTTGCGTGCTTAAGTTGTTTTTTTTTGTGTTTTTTTTTCATTTGCTGTCGATCATTATTTTCCATTTAGGAAATACTATCTGAACAAAACACCAAGTAGGGCAAAACCAGGCGATTTGTCATCCACAGTGATGTATTATTTATTTTAAACGAGGAAGGCAAAAAGGGGGGGATTTTAGTCACGACGACTGGGATTTAACGCTAGTATCAAATGTTTTTCATGATGTAATCATACATTTGAAAAAAATAGAATCTTTCATTGACCATATTTGTGCTTATCCGTCTTAAAAAATTATTGTATCTAATCTGCCTTATGTTTTTTTTTTATTTACTGGTTAGTAAAACGGTAAAAACAGCATTTAAAAGAAAACAAAAAGATATAATCCGTTTTGTAAGTAATATTAAGCCATACCTGATGCATCAAAAGATTTGCAAGTGCCGTCTTTTGAAAGCATTCCAAGCTTATTGTACTGTAGCGAGGTGGTCGGTCGAAGACACAAATTGCAGCCAGCTACAATGGCTGCATCACAGTGCCCTTGTCTAATGCTGTGAAAAGCTTGATCCATGGCCGTTAAACTAGAAGAGCAGGCAGTGTCTACACTGAGACTTGGACCTAAAATATTGTTTTTAATACTTGATCGTATAATGGTATCAATGAAAACATGTCTGATCGAAAAAGTCGAGAGATAACCAAAGGAATAGTCAAACTCAAACAAGAAAACGATCAGACAATGCCATAAAAAAAGCGAAAAACAACCAAAAGACACTTGACCCCATTTTTCATAATTTAGATTAGATAATCTAAGGTCAAGCTTGGGAAAGAAAATTAAATTCGTCAGTCGATACGGGTTTGTATCAATTTTATCGGTTTCGGTGAAGGGATCAGATTAGATATGACCTAAAGGAAATAACATATCGAAAAAACAATACATCAAGACCTCGTATAAAAAATTAATCGGCCTTATATCAATAAAGTTTACACCATGACAAATGGAATAAAGCATTTAAACTGGACGAAAGTAGTTCATTGTATGTAATATATAAATGTACCGTTTTATGAAAATAACACTTATAATAATGTTCGGATGATCAAGCGCTATTTGCTCAAACTCACATTTTGAATCCCAGTGAAGTCTAAGAAATGAAAACATGAGAAGAGTTTTTAAAAGAAGGGACCTCACAGAATAGCTCGAATCGTCCAAGGTAAAAGTTGCCTGATGAATAATTTCTAAATATTTAAATGGAGAATTTAAGAAAGGTTGGCCCTTAAAAATTATATACATGAATTGACAATCTAACGTGTCAAAAAGAGTCACCCCTTCTTTATTTGAAAGAAATATTGTTTCAGTTTTGGGAATCAATATTAACAGAGTTCAAACCTTTGAAATCAAAGAAAAAGGAGAGTCTATTAGCAAACATTGTCCGATGACATCCTATCAAATGGTAACCAAGAGTTTTTTCTGGGTCAGAAGACCAAGCATCATGTGACTCTGATAGACTGCAACCAATAAAAACACCAGTTCTTGATCCTCTCAAACTGTCTGGATTTACACCTTTAAATAAACAATAGTTCATATTTAATCGAGATTAAAGTAGCTGTTGGTAAAATGTTTATGCAAAAGCTAAACAAAGACACTAATAAAAAGCAATTGCACTTACTTAGTAGATTATGAAGTCAAAAATAAACGATCACACCGATAGCTAACATTTTGCAATATAAATAACTACAAAACTCTAACATGAATTTATAAGAATTTATATATTCAGCTACATACCAGCATCTGTGATAGATTCATAGGTTACTTCAAACAGCAATCTTAATTGAGGGTCCATACTGTTAGCCTGTTTTGGATGAATATTAAAGAATTCTGCATCAAACTTGGTTATATCCTTTAGTTTTCCCATTCTTGCAGGTAAGCCATGAAGTCCTGAAAACATAATTTTGATTATTTGATCGAATAAGAAATCTTAAGGCAATATTATGTCTGATGTCTCAAAACATATCTAGGAGAAGACTTTCTAAGTTTGATTAACATGTGTCTCATCCCTTTTGTATATTCAAGCAAACAAAATATATTTAAACTTTATTTGTCAATATACGTCATTATTGTTTAAATCTTAAAATCGCAACCATGACTATACAGGTATAAGATTTATTCTAGTTATTACAATTTTAGACTGAACGCAGATCGGAATATTCCATTATCTTTTTTCAGTAATATTTGTTTTATAAAAAATACATGACAAGAGTCATCGCCTTAGAGATACATTTTTCGTCAAATGTTGCTATAGTGATCGCATAGAGCAACTACGTACAAGGATACATGCATATGTGAACTATGACATTTTTTAAAAATAACTTGAGTTTTTTTTTTGTGTCTCTCTATTCTTAAACAAATAATCCATTGATTGTGTTCTTTGGGTCTATTCTCTTATGAGAAAAATTTTAATAAAAGAACCGAACGTAAATTAAAAAAGGGGAAGTCCATAAAAACTAACAAAATCAAACGTTATGAACCAATGGAACGAGTGGAAAATAAGTGTCATATTCCTGACTTGGTAAAGGCATTCGGATTTCTCCTTTTCATAATAGATAATTATGTTGTGATAACAGAACGTGTACTGATCAATGTTCAAATTATTTTAAAGGTTATTCACAGTAAAACTTTCAGATATCGATACTGAAGAAAGGTATTATGTATACCTGATATATCTACCGATCATTTAACTTGATTATATATTGTAACTGACGTTTAAGGTTGTTGTACACTTTTAGCCGTGAAATGAATTTTTGTACACTTCTGCTTCGTTGTTACAAAAAATAATGATTAACAAATACGTACTAAATAAAACATTCAATTGAAAACATGGAAGAAATGAAATGCATTTGCGTAACATTTGTTTCTGGTTTTGTACGTAAACAAATGACACAATAGAGATTTCCATCAAAATGACATACGAACGTAACCCGACGTACGGACCTAATGGGACTGGTTATTGTATACCATTTAATTTGATTAAATACGTCGCTCAAGTTTAAACAAAGTATTCCAAGACTTTCAAAATTACACACTGGAATTTTCGTCTATAAACATTTTTTTATACTGCCGAAAAATGATAGAAATCTTACATTTTTATCTATCACGTGGTTTCCAGATTCCCGCCTTTATTTTCACTGACATAAGATCACCTATAAACACACGTATCCCATACCTATCATACATACGATATGGTTTTGATTATGACATTATTATTTTTCGATACACTTTGCAGATGAACGCCCAATTATACTTTGTTTATGTCTTTGTTTATAGTTTATCTATTTTTTTATTATATTTGTTGCGGGGAAAATCTTTAGAAAGATATTTTTTTGACAATTTTAGAAATATGGAAACCAGAGTTTGTCAGAATCTGGTCTCTTTATAAAAGTTGAAAATTGAGATGAAACTATCGCTTCCATTTATTTCTAAACAAAAGTTTTTTACTTTAATACAAAATGGTTGATAAAAACATCACTGTATATGTTGTTTTTTAGAATTAAGGTGTGTTCGATTAGGGATTGTTCTGTATTAATTTGTTTAACGGGAATGCTATCGGAGTCCAAATACAAAAGACATTTCAAGGCAATTTTTTTTTTATATCCCTTGAAGTAAATTAACTTATAGTATTTATTCATTTTATTGATAAACAATTAAAAGGGGTCGCCGAATTCATTTAACTAAATAAATCATTAACGGAAATATGTAAGGTAAGTAACAACATAATATAATTAAAAAAGGGGGTAGTATAGGCAACGTAGGAAGTGGGACAAAAAGTAGAAGTTTTAATATGATGTATGGCCATATATATAAGTTTTCGTTGTATATGTATTTTACAAATGAATATTTATGACGAAAAGATGAATATGAACCATACTTTGTATTATACCGCAGGAAGACATGTCATTTTACAAGGACACATGATTTTGACCCCAGACCGACCAATTTTTGCTCTAACTTCTAAATATTGCGTGCTTGGCAGAGAGGCAGCCAATCTTCGATTTGAAACGGGCGAGGATCGAGCCCAAGACTTCCCGCATCCGAGCAGTGGTATAGCTTCCATTGACGCAATTAGACAACCGCCTCACCAAATATTTGACCATTAAAGAAGAGAGATTAAGAGAATTATTTACCATGTACGTCATAGTATAAAGTATACTGAGTGACGACGGTTCAAAACGTTAACTACTATACTCTTTACTCACTCATTCCTCATTATTAACGTGTTGAAAACTTTCCTTCATAAAATGAACAAGGAAGATGCAAATATTGTTTTAAGTAACAAACAACCTCGTAAAAAATGATTCCAACAAGAGATCATAACTGTAAAACTGATGTGATGCTTTTTGTTTTACAGTTAGAAGACATAGTGGATCTTATATCTAATATCCCCAAACATTTTAGAGGAGGTCATACATATAATTCTGTCAATTATTTTTGTTTTGATCGGGACCTGTCTGTAACTGAATACCGAGAATTAAACCTTTATAGCCAGCAGTTTCATTGAAATATACTGACTTAATGCGCACTAGAAATATTATTTCATGATAAAATTCAATAAATCTGGATTTTTAATAGACAGGATCTTCTTGCCAGTGTGTGACCTATCACGAGTATGATCACATACACCTATTTTGCGATTCATATTTTCAACTACCTGTCCACTCCCTATTGGCATTTAAATCTTTTAACCGTGAGGCTTTGACCGCAAAGATTTAAATCATTTGCCTCGCCAGAAATAAAAGTCAAGTTACGATTGATTGATAGTTAGTTCCTTAACGTCCAGTGGCAAATATTTCATGCATTTATTACGTGTAGTGAGCATGGCATTCTCTCTACAAATGGCGTCGGATTTAACGTTCCCACTCTGACCGGACGAGACTGCGAACTTGTACATCCCGCACAACCAAAAGGACTACCCACTTTGGCAATGGTTTAAATGCCGATCTGAACAAGACCAATAGTGACCATATTTCTCTTCTCCCAATCACCTTTGAGGGGTAACTGTCGAGGCGTGCGCGCGATCAAAGAGACAGATATGAATATGAAAGATACATATAATACATGAACGTGTTTAATCAAAAATATTGCAACAAGAATGTGTGGCCTTAAGAAACCGTGCCCCTTCACATGAACATATTTCCATGCATGTTCAGTGCACCACTTAATCCGGGTCAAACTCTAATTTGGTATATAATCTTAAACGTTTTATGTTTTGAACAGAACGGAGGAACAGACGAATGCACAGACCAGTACATAGAATATCCCCTTGCTATCATAAGTTGGTCATAAAACTAAAATGATCATCCTACTTAACAAAACTACAATCAAATATTCCGTACATGTCCGTTTTTCATACGTATTTGTAAAACTTAAACGCCAAACATTTAGAAAAAACAATTAACAGCAATGACGTTAAATTATGCATACGTTTGTACGGGCTCTTCCTATAATCCATGCATCATTGTAATTAAAGACAAGAAACAAAAAAAAAACTGATTCAGTAAAGTGTTATCATATTTTTTCTTTAAGATGCGTTTTCATTAATTCCATTTGATAAAATTCTACAGAATGGTGACAAAGTACTATCAAAAAGATGCATCAGTGATCTGAATTTTACCTTTGACATAAGTATCTTGAAATCAATTATAGAAGTATGCTAAAAAAGAAGAAGAAGCAAGTCGTGTACACCTTTTACATTCCGGCGTGTTTGAAACTCTTGTTTTAATCTTATAACTTTTAAATAAAAAATTGACAATATGATCTCGCTTCAGATTCCATTATTTTTATTTTTTCAAACTAAATTTTCAAATAGTATCTATTCCAACAAAGTATGTGTATTCAACGAGCCAAAAGTTCATGCAGTCTATGCTCCCTTCCGTCATCCTTCAATGCAATAGGCCGAGATACGGTCAGATAGGTTGATTGTGTCGAGTAATGTCATTTTATTGGAAATCTCTATTAGGACGTAAAGAAAAATAGTAAAAATACGTACTTCAAAGACAATGAAAAATATGGCCCAGAATTGTCTATTTTTTTAAATTCAGATAAAAAATTTTGACAACAAAATATTTAAGACCTATGAATATTTATGCGACTACAAGCACTAAATTTTATATTCAGTCAATGAAAATTCTCAAACTTGTGAAATTAATTATTTTCACATAAATTTATTGTGTGTCCTTAAAATGTGTCATGTACACGTGAGCTGTACTGGACCTTGTCATAATTGAGTGATTTTTTTTTTAATACGATGTTACTATTGTCAAATTGTGTTTAGTATTATGAGATCAAAATATTATCCATAACGTCATTGCACGCTTTTATATATTTAGGCCAATAACTTCCTTTGTTACCTAATTTTTGACACTCTACAAATCGAGTGATTTAGATGTAAGATTTACTAATAAATAATAACATAAATTTTTTAGTAGATGTTGCAGATATATATATATATAATATTAAAGGGAAAATCCGCGATTTTTTACTTATCATCTAAATATGTTCCTCATAACATAAAAAACACATTCACAAATTTATATTCCCTCTGATAACGGAGAAAATCAAGTATTTGTAACTTTTTTGGTTGACATACGTCATGGGGTTGTGACGTTTTAACCCGATTTAGTGAATGCTGGGAAATAATAAAATCAGCTTAAGTCTTAATCGCTTATCGAATTTTTCCGTAATTAAAAGCGCGCCGATGTCCGTTTCTTGTAGCTATTAACCACAAAAGAAGAATGAAAGAAAATGAACACAAGTGTAACGTTTTGCTTTGATTAAATAAAAAAAATTATGGCATATATATTTGCGATTTGATTTATTTAATAATAGTTGTGATTTTTTCCGGAGATATTTATTGAAGACAAATCATTTACTGATATTGAACTGAAAATACTTTTCATTTTTATTTACATTAATAATTTCATTTCAACGCAAAATCTGTGTGAATAGAATGTGTCTGTTATTTCGGAAAGGCATTGTTTTTTCCATTTTGTAAAACAATTCGTTTTACAATAAACGAGGGCAATTAAGCCTTAAACGTACGCTTTTACAGGTGTGAATATGTTCTCATTTTGAATGAATTAACAGAATGGCGAGTTAATACACCGAGATTAAATACCCCAAAACAATAAGAAAAAAATAATTGTATAATTTCCTTGAAAATAAAATACAAATTTTTAATTACAGCAGTGAATAAAATTAAAAAAGGAAAATTTTTCGGTTAGATTCAAATATGAAGAATAAAAGAATAAAATTAATGCTATATTTCCACAAATTTAATAGAGGGATACCATTGCACATGTGTTTAATTAAGTTTACCAGAATTTTTAACTTGTATTTCGATGAATACGTAATAAAATTCAAATAGCCCTGGAAATTATTTCTCGGGGGAATTATTTTTTATAAAAATAGAATGCCGATTATAATTTCTCTCATTAAAGGATCAGCATTCAGTTGAAATTTAGGCTAATTAATTATCTGTTGAACCAGTTAACTCGACTTCATAGGAGACTAACTTTCCTCATCAAATAAAATTTTATTCACACATTTTTTTTTATGAATAGAGCGTGTTTGTTTTTATATGAGGTGTTGTAAGTGGTCCCTCAATATATCTAAATGTCTGCATGGTATACTTAGCCATACGTTTACAGTGTTTGATGGGTGTAAATTCAACATGGTTATTCGAATAATGATATATTCTTGTATGCAGACTGAAGGATTTTAGGGAATCTGTAGTATCAATGTCTCTTGGTCGTATCTCTGTCAACGATAGGTTAATGCCTGCATGTTGTACTAAGCCATACGTTACTTTTCGTCTTAGGTGTGTAAGTTTTTAAACGAATTTTGAATAATAATATTTATATGCAAACTGAAGAATCTGGAATTTATATGATTTATGGGGAAAAATACCAAGTACGGGGCGGATGGTATGACTCCAAGTCAGCCAAAACCTACCCGAATTATAAATCATAGCCTCCTTACTTAATTTAATCCGAAATTAAGCTTGTCAGATAAAAAAGAGTACAGCGCTTTTGCTTTGGAGTTGAAAAATAACATTTGCTAATAATCCAATATAGTAAAACGTATATTCCCGAGCTTATAATCTGAGACTACTATACTGTGTTATAGTAGTCTCAGGTATAATGCACAAAAAAAGGGTTGTTGTGTACTCTTACACTTAGTTAGGTGGTAATTTTCTTGCACCTACATGTTAAAACAGATGTGATCCGTGCACTACAGCGGAATTACGGCTTTAGTTGTTATAGTACGCACAAAAATTAATTGGGCTAATTTGGTCGCTGTCTTTGGCCATAATATCCCACATCTTTTTATTCAATATAAGTCGTAAATCTTGAATATTTTGTAATCAATTTATGAAGCTTGATCGAAACGTAGATCCACTTAGATACTAATTGTTCTCTTTTCTTCTATTTCACCAATGAACCGCCGAAGCAGAGACATATATAGGTAGTCACGCTTAGTCGGAATTTCTCGTGCTATTTCACTAGGTTCTAATTATTATACACTATGACTAACAATTGTGTTGACGAATTTCTTAATCTGTTCTAGAACAATTGAATTGAAATATAAATCTTTGAGTATACTTTGCTTATGTTCATAACTTCGAGGAAGTAAAGTAAGTTAGAGATTGATTTGAATTTAAATCAGATTTGTTCTGGAGGTTTCTTTTTTTTCTATATACATATTTTAAAGTGTGACTATCTATAGTTTCGTAACTTTCTATTTGTATTAACCAATGATCGACATTTGTGTGCATTTTTGTGAAATGCTAGAAATATTTGTATGTTTCAAAATGTCCATAATTGTTGACAACGAGTATCTACTTACATTTTTCATATTTTACCATTGAAAACAATTTCTAAATAGATTTTTACTTCATCTAATCTGTGGTTGGAATTACTTAGATTTTCATAAATATCATTCATTACACCAGAAATGTTAGTGGTAGTAAGTAAGTAAATGTCTAGTGTATCACTGTCGGACTCAAGACAAACAAAATGTACACATGATGTATATTACACCTGATAGTTCCAAATAACTGGCCGTGTACACTGATCTATACACAGTGGTATATAAGGTCAGCAGTAAAGCGATGTATGAACCTGCATTAAGTAATTGTGTAATAAGAGTTTTTAAGCCCGACAGGAAATCGCTTAAATACCTGGTCATGTCACCTCACAATAGCTCTGGCAATAATTCCGTTAGCCATGCTGATGATCAAATTAGGAAAGGTTTAAAAAAATGTATTACATAAAAGCGTTATGAACAAATCAGATTTTGAAAACTTTTTTTACACGGAACACCGCTAGTTTGACTTTGAACTATGAGAGAATCTATCTAAGTAATCTTAACTATAATTCCCCTACATTTATTTGTTTCAAAAACTTATTTAAAAAAAAAACAGTTTAAAAACAGCAGACTATAGTTATTTAAAAAAACAAACTTGTTCCGTATTAAGTTAATTAAACAAAAGCTTGCCGATAGGTAGAAACCATGTCTGGTATAATTCTTTTTTTTAGGATCTATGAAATTGTGTATGCGTTTGTCATTATCTTGTCGGGTAAAACAACCGTACGTTTGACAAGAAATTTTGACACTTAATTACAACTACGTTAGTCCCTGCTTGTTTGGGTACTTTGTGGTTTATAGTTATCACGTGGTTTTATTAACCGGGATGCCGTCAGGATGGCTACATGTAGAGAATAGATATTCTCAATTTAAAAATCGATGGTGATATCTTATGTAGGAGAATAAAACTTTAATTTTTATGAATTTATGCTTTTTTATACATAATGAACATAATATAAATTTTTCATTTTTCGGCGGTTTCCCTTTAAGATTTTATTATGAGAATGAGTTTTCATTGTATTTTTTTTTATTGAATCAATAATTATTACTTGATTGAACAAAACAGTTATACTGCACGTTTTTATTAGATGTCATCGTCTTATAAACACACCAACAAAGGCATGACAGCCATATATCAATAAAATATAGTCCAATGTTTAATTTTATCGAATTGTTATATTGTTTTATCCACTTGTTTTTATTACTAGAATTCGAAAAATCATAAATATATCCTTAAACATTATTATTTCCCCCAGATGATTATGAGACAAAAGTATTTCAAATACCGATATCATCATTTTGAAATTTTCAAACGTCTTGTAGTTTTTAGGAAAATTATAAAAGCTGTCAAAATGCCCTTAGTTTGAGATATCGTCATCAACATTTAGAAATGCGTCAAGGCCTTACGCGAACATTTAGTATGCTATAGGGTGTCTTATACAAAGATATTAATGTGGATAAAATACCTCTTTGTATAGGACTAGGCTCGTTCCTAATTGTTCAACAAAGTTTGATCGAAATCATAATTTTAGGTCAAATGTGTTAATTCCAACATGTTAATGACGTCTAAGTGAAATCACAATTGACATTTCTATTCTAATGTAACAAGATTTTCAAATCTATTGATTGAAAATGTCCCTTTTTGCAATTCTCACACATACTCTTTTGATGAGATAAAATGTATGTAGAAAATGTTATACAAAATTACCGAGCTTCAAAACTTGACTCAGTACTAATGCAAAAAGGGGAGTCCATAAAACCCAAACACTCGACTATATCAACCCAACTAAGCCACTGAAAAAAATCTGTCAGATTCCTAACTTGGTTCAGGCAATTCCCCCAAAAAAATGGTTGATAAATTCTGGTTTAAAAGCTAGCTAAACCTTCCACTTGTATGACAGTTGTATATAGTTCCGGTTTATTGACAAAATTGTCAGATTTAAGTTTTGTCATTCATAACAGTCCAATTGTCTTCAGTAAAAGATTTTATCCATCTTATTTTTATAGATTCGACTATATATGTAATAAAATTATGAACCGAAATGTAGGGGTAAGTGGACAAATTGTTTGTTGGCACTACATAGATGAAACTTGAGGATTCCGAATGTCTAACAAAATGGAACAAACAAGAGTAGCAAAGATCATTAATGACAGACTCATTACAAACCTTTTGGCCATCTTCTTGCATCATCTGTCACCATGTCATCTTTATTTATTAAATGCTGTTTGAATTCTTCAATACTGTCAGATTCTGGAAGTCGACATGAAACACCACTAATGACAACATCTTCTATTCTGCTGTTGGGTTGGTTTGAAACTTGGTTCAAGACGAATTGATCTGACCCATTTCTACTCCCTTCATTATTACCAGGGGTTTTGTCTTCCTCAATTCCCCTTGACAAACGTTTCAAATACTGTGCATACATTTTTCAGTTACTGTATGAATAGAAGAGAAGCAGATCAGTAATTTTTATTTGTTAAGATATCACTTCTTGAATGTTTTTTTTTTCAGATCCCAGAAGAAACAAGACAATAATATAATCTTAATAAACATTTTCAAATGTAAATATTATACAGTAAAAAAGTAGTAAAATGATAATATGAAACTTGTCTCTTTGATAAAAAAATTAATTGCTAAAAGAAACGCATAGGTCCGATATTTGTTTTACATATAATTGACAATTAAGGGAAAAAAGTGGCGCAAGATACAGAGAGAAAATTGAAAACGATCTAGCAACGCCATGGCAATAATGAAAAGAGCGGGAAAGAAAAAAAAATCGACAAAAAACCTCGTATAAAACAAAAGAATGAGCAACACGAACTTTAACAAGAACAAAAAAACGGGTTGAACGAATATTGATTTTTCTAATATCTTAACAATGAATAAGTTAAGGTGTATTTAAAAACAAAATGACGGAACGAATAATTTAAAATCTTGCCAAGTGTATTTTTCAAGAACTGAAAAATGAAAGTTGCTGTAACGTGAGGATAAACTGTTCATGTTTACCATTGAAAACCTTTGGTCATTTAACCCGTGAAACTATATTGTACAAAAACGTTGGTGTTAATCAGGCGATTTTCATTGTAATTGTGAAATTCCGGTTTGCCAATATTGCAAAAAAGATACAATGTCATTGGCCATCAGGATGGACAATCTCAAACTTAAGTCAACGAAAATTCAACGGTCAACGTAGCACAATTGCGTGCCTGTGACAACGATTAAACAAACTATATAAGCTAAAGATCTAATTGATGTGGCAGACCAAACATCACTTCTCTACTCTATGATCTGTATATGTTGGTGTTCTATCTATGTAATCGAACAGTCACTGCTACAATCATCGCATATACAGGCGTCGTAATGCCTATGCCTGCATACAAGAAATGACAAATTTCGAGATGGAAACGTCCTTATGTGGTCGTCAACCTCCTAAAATCACAGACAAACCTAGTGCATGTCCATAGACATTTAACACCTCAAATAAAAAAAAACGATATTATGCAGCTGCATATGCTCAATGTTTTTGATCAACTGAGTGAGATGTTTCAGAAGAAAAATTCCAGACTCAATACAGCAATGGTAACAATGGATTTACTTACTCAAAACAACATTTATATTTCATGATGGCCAAAGTCAAGTTAAGTTTGGGCGAACTTCTTCGACGCATTGGTCAACGCCAACATAAATCATTTGACCAACTCAGTCAAGCATTGCAATATGGAAGTCCAATGATAACACAGTTCCAACTACAAAAATGAATTCGATCCATGCATAAGAGATGCATGACATTATTTGCCGAACGTGGAGGTCAAAATAGATACTGACCTTTACGTCATCGACAAATGACCAAATGCATATTATGTAGCCTAATTTTTTTTTCAATTCTTTGTTCAGTATTCTGTATGACATTCATATTTGCTCAATATACCAAATTGGTGCAGTAGAAATAGATTTGAAGTACACTCAATGCAATTTTGTAAAAAAAATGTATTATGCGTTTCTTTTTTGCAGAGTAAATGTTACCCATGTTAACAAAAGTCGACGCTTTAATTTTCTTGCGTACTGTTTGTAATGTTCTACAAACGTCCTGTTTTTTAGTCATCAAAAAGTTAATCATCGTATTATTTTAAAAAATATATTTGCATGTAATATAAGTATATGTACTCATGCCTCATACACAACATTATTAATATTCAGGATCATTGGTCGAAAAATACATTTTCATAAAAGCCCCGGTCAGAAATTCATTATTTCTCATGTATTTAAGGAGATTTAGTTTTGTCTTTTTCTCATATTATCTGTTCAAAAATATCTTGATCACTCATATATTTGTGAATTTTATTTAGTTTATTTAACAGACATTTCAATGTCAGCTGGTAGTAAAGTTAAAATTAAATTTACCCCCCTACGCAAGAATTCACGTTGTATCCGTCATTGATATAATGAGATAAAAAGAATATTATAAAAAATAGCAATAACAGTAATTATTAATTATAAAAAATTATATAACGTTCCATTATACTATACATGCTCCCATTAGGTTTGATATTCTACATTTATGACAACATGATATGACGTTAATGTTTTTGCCTACAAATATAAACCAAATTCCGAAAGTGAGTTGGCCATTCACATAAATGGAGATCACGATATAATAATCACAGTGTAGATACTATTCTGTACGCTATCCGGAAGTCGCGATTTTCGAAGCGAGAACTTTTTGGATAACATTTTAAATTTGATGGATATACTGAATTAAACGGTAAGTTGATCATCTGTACATTGCTTAATGATTAATTCAGCTGACATCGATATTCTCAAATGGTTTAGAATTAAATTCAGCACATTCATTATTCGTATCTTTGCTTTAATCAAGAGATTTTCAAGTGCATCACTAAGGAAAATCAGTCGGTGAACCTAAAAACAATCTTTTTACCCTCTTAGTGTACAAATTAACGTAAAACCAGACGTAATTAACTAAATGAAGTATATTTCAAGTGGTGGTAAAAGTTTCAACTAGATCTTTGAAGCCAGAAATAAAAAATTACACTTGTTTGAATTTCTCACTGTACGATCAGTCTCGCTTGTATATTTTGAAACTGTATGATCAGTCTTTATTTCACTGTATTCTAGTGGTGATTTCAAAGTTATTTACGATACATTAGAAGGTGGCATTTTTCTAAATAACACAAATATATTTCAATAAATTCACATCCTGAAAACTTATGTAACATGTTTTAGCTTGATGGGGTGTACTCGACTTACTACATTAAGTATAAGGACGTTTAAATGTTGCTAAAATAAGAGGAAGGTTTGTTGTATATATAAGTTTCAGAAATGTCCTCCGTTATACTTAAAATTGTACAAACACACAGATTTAATTGTTATATAAAAATGCATGTATTTACACACATTCGAGGCCGTACTGTAGCCTATAATTGATCACAGTTCCTTCACTTTGTTTTGGATGTAGAGCTGTCTCTTTGACACTCAATTGTACACCACTTTGTAAAGCGGGGGTTTATAGTGATAATGAAGTCCGTCTTTCCGTCGGACCGGTACAATATGTTTCGTCGGTTTTGTAAGTGCATCTCCTCATAAACCACTTAATATACATTGTGGGTTCCAGCCATTTTTAAATGGAGAGGGGGTCCAATCCAGGAGAAAAGGGATTCCAAATATATGTTCCCATACAAATGCCGTCTACAAAAATCATCAGAAATATATTTGTATTGTCTGATGAAAGACATTACACGTTATAGTTCCCTGGACAGTTCATAATATCACATAGACACGTATATACCTTCAAATTGCCGTTGTTTCTTTTTCAAAATCACGACTGGTCATACAGTCAAAAAATCTGAAACGCTTCTAGAATACAGTCAGTTCTAGACTGATCGTACAGTAATTTATTTTGGGATCCTCAAGGAAAACATATTTTTTTATGGGAAATTTAGAATATTCTACTTAAATACGAAAAGAATATTGAAACAGTATATATTTAACTGTACACTGATGCAAATATTTGCATTAAAAGATTATTTGCTTTGTACTACGAGAGCAAAATTGTCCATCGATTTCACTTTTTTCTATCAAGTTGGTGTGATGCACACGTATATTTTATATTCTTATGCATGTCTTTGTTACAGTTACTCATATTTATGATGCTATACATACCTTGAAGATGTTCAAAGCACTTTACAGATATAGGAGTAAACAAATGATGAGAAAAGTCACCGTAGGCAAAAACGTCCTGTTAGCCAGTTGGAAATCATCGCTTCGAAAATCGCGACTTCCAGGTTACACTTTGTAAATACAGCTGTTTCTCAAACCACGCCTCTTTTGGGGAGATATATAATATTCATAGATATGTTAATTTGTTAATGTACTGGTTCCCATTTATGATCTCTGTGTTTCATCTCATAGAGACATCACTTGGGAATGTAACCAGTATAGAAAAACATGGTAGCGCCTAAATTTTAATTCTTAGGAGGTCCAAATATGAAGGTAAGGGTAGTATAGAATTTTAGTATAAGTTTAAACTCTTAGAAGTTCAGGGCATATAAATGTTGAAAACATGCCGCACAGCCCTATATTTTGACCTTTGAATAAAATAGTAGTGCATATAAACTTTCCGTTCTGGGATATTATTTTTCACGAAACTTCATAGTAAAAGTGTCACAGTTTTAGCTGCAAAGGGAGTTCTATGGGAAATTGCATTGTCTATATTTACAGAATTGCAACCTATATAGGGTTAAAAAAAAGAACATACAGAATTTCACAAAATCTGGTTTATCTCAGAGATTTTAAAGAATTTAACTCAAATATGAAGTTTTATAAATATTTCATGAAGATTGAGAAAATCCTGAGCCTTAACTATGATGACTCAGCATAAATTCACAGTTTACAGTATGCATGGTTTACTTAAAGCCCTGAATTCAAAATAAATTCATAATATATGCCTATTTGTGATTTAAATTGTTTAGAAGGGCTTATATTTACTCTTCGCAGTCATTGCAACTCGTTGATCCTTCCTAAATCATTTTGTTAGGTTATTTTTGTCCTGTCGATAACCCAAATGTAAGCCGTAACACCTAAATGTGTTTTTTTGTGACCACGGCATTAAAAAGTACAAGCTAGAATTACAAAGAGACCTCAATAAAACTTACAATAGTATGTTCTATCCTAAATATATACTAAATACTCCACATTGCTAGAAACAGGGAAAATATTTAGGAAATGTGAGGCCCCAGGGGGCAAAAAACAGAAAAAAATGCCTACCCTGGGTCATAA